TAATCACCCACCATGCCACCAATTCGGTCTAAAACAAAGCAAGATTCTATTCACCAAGAGGGTAGGATCGAGCTAGCAATTGAGGCTATTCAGAATAAAACAATCTCTTCTATTTCAGCCGCTGCGCGTACGTATAGCATTTCGCGATCAACACTACGCGACCGCATCACAGGCCGCGTTTCGCAGACCAATATCCACGCAAATAGTCATGAATTGACTCAATTTGAAGAGGATACGCTTAAGAAGTGGATTCTCTCTATGGACGACCGTGGTGCAGCCCCTCGGCCTAGTATAGTGCGTGAAATGGCTGATTTACTGCTTGCATTGCGGGGCACTGACCGTGTCGGCAAGAACTGGACTGGAAACTAATCAATCGTACGCCGGCGATCCAAACACGCTTCTCGCGTCGATATGACTATAAAAGGGCTGAGCAAGAAGACCCACGGGTCCTTCGTGGGTGGTTTCGGCTTGTGGAAGAGACTATATCGCGCTATGGTATTCTGCCTGATAGTATCTATAGCTTCGAAGAAACAAACTTCGCAATAGGCGTAGTTTCTGCCGCAAAGGTGGTCACTAGAGCTAAATATTATGGCCGTAGATCTACTCTACAACTAGGTAATCGTGAATGGGTGACTGCAGTGGAAACAGTCAATGCTTTAGGCTAGGTTTTACCGCTTGTTATATTCAAAGGTAAGCGCTATATTGAGTCTTGGTTTCACGATACACTAAGGGGCTGGCGCTTCGAGGTTAGCCCAACTGGATGGACATCTGATAAGATTAGCCTTCGATGGCTTCAATCACTCTTTATTCCGGTGACCGCAAGCTATACGCGTGGTCGGTATAGGCTATTGATCTTTAATGCTCATAATAGCCACCTTACGCCTGAATTCGTTCATTTATGCGCCGCAAATGATATTGTACCGATATGTATGCTGCCGCATAATTCGCATCTATTATAGCCATTAGATGTGGGCTGCTTTGCAGTTCTAAAGCGATCATATGGTCGCTTAGTGGACCAACAGACACGTATAGGAATCAACCATATCGATAAGTTTGATTTCCTCGAAGCATATCCACAAGCCCGCGCAGACGCATATCAGGCGAAGACTATTCAGAATGCATTTAAAACGACTGGTTTAGCCCCATTAGATGCAGAACCAGTGCTATTAAAGCTGAACATTCAGCTTCGGTCACCGACACCTATCACTGAACGACCTACAAGCAAATCAAGCATTTATTGCCCTGAAACACCTACAACAATTCTCCAGCTTTCTAAGCATGCGAAATCAGCTAAAAAGCTACTAAAATACCGGTCGAAATGCCCACCAACGCCTACTAAAGAGGTCATTAACCAGGCATACAAAGCCTGCGAGCAAGTGATGCAAAGCATGATCTTAATAGAGAAAGAAATTAAGGATTTACGGGCCACCAATAAGAAACAACTACGAAAAAAGAGGCTATCTAGGAAGGAGATAGTGAAGACTGGAGGTATGTTTGTTTATGAAGCCCATGAGCAAGGCATTGATTGGTCTACTAGGTGGTTTAGAAGGTGGTGGTGTGTCCTTCGCAGCACCCACACAGACGGCTTCGGTGACCGGTAATGGCACCAACAGACGGCAATATAAATGCAGTTATGCGGAACGCCTGGTCATAAGGCTGATAGATGTTCAGATAGGGTTTAAGTTGAATATTTAAATGCTTCATGAATATAAAAATAAAAATAAAAATGGGTGGGCGGGAAGACCGGGAAATAAGTTAGGACAGGTTTTGCCCCCCGCCGCCCCCCCCCCCCACCACCTCCTCCTTCTTTTTGCGTAAATTGTTAGCGAACAAGTCCCCTGAGGTAGCGCGGTACTTTGAGAATGGAGTAAACAAATATTCTCGCAATCAGTAAGGGTGCGGTATAATGAGTATCAATGGCGCATGAAGAATGAGCGAGCATTGCTCGGTATCGGCTCCCATCCAATGACGAAGGTAGTCAGTCAGTGAACGCAAGGTAGCATTGTTTTAATACTACTTCGTACCTTTGGATTGGTACATTTGATTTCCCAAAAGATGTTCGAAAGCTGTTTACACGCAGGGTGACGGTGATATTCACGAGGCCTTATCCTCCTACATTTTTCGACCTAATAGGGGTTAAACCCTCGGAAATCACAACAAGCGCAAGCCGCTTGATTAACACCACCGACATTTATCTCTGAGGCCGTGGACCTACGACAATGCTCATGGGAAACTCAGATCGCAGATATCTCCTACAGCATGCGTTTCATTAATGATGGGCTGATTGCCGAAGAGATATTCGTTCCTGAATCTCTTCTGACCTCAGTCCCGCTTAAAGACGGCTGGGGCCAAGAGGCTTCAAGGAGATCATCTCGTTACCATCAACACAACAACCAAGTCGAAGAAATTCACGTTCCTAAAAAAAGGCAGCCTACAACACGCAAGGCGCCCGATGGGTTCTACAAAGTGGGCACTGGGCGGCATCGACCAACATCAACCCCAGCAGCAAAAGGTGAACCAGATGAAAGGATTCCAATTATCCTGGATGGTGAAGGACAAAGTGGTATCGAGTCACTTGGAGACAGGAATACCTCTCTCCGCCCCCACTGGAGAAAGTCAATCCAGCATGAACAGCCTGGAGAAGTACACAGAGACTTTGAAGATAGCAACTCGCGAACCTTACCTAACAACGGTACTCACTTGTCCCACCTGCCTGTCCACCAGCCCAGCAGTACAGCTACGAAGCCGCGGAAGAGCAGCCTGATGAGCCTGTATGACCGGACCAGCTTAGTCAATATCAAGCACCAACGCAAGTATTGGCTCCGGCTACTTATTGAGTACGGAGCTTACACAGCGCTTGCGGCTTTTGCTTATCTTGTTCTTATAGGGACTCCCTTGTGGAAAGGGGCCGTATGCTGGCTGTATTGGTTGATGCAACGCAGGTTTGTCTTCTCAGGTGGCTGGGCAATCGCGATCGCTTTGCTTGTTTTGTGAGTTGACCTTTAGGTTGATACCTGTGAGCTTTTTTAATTATACACAAGGCCAAAAGCCTGGCTAGAATACTTACATTCTTGTCTTCACAGCTATTCCTTTACGCCACTCCTCAGGACTTTCGAAAATGATGCCCTCGGTCCGGACTATTACCAGCAGCGCCGTATTATCCCGGAAGCCACAGATACTGCTCTCCTAATCCCGTGCTACAGGTCTGGACCTATTATTGGTCAGACTCTCAAAGCTGCTTTAAAAGTCTTCCCCGCCTCGCATGTCTATGTGATCGCCAACGGCAACTCCTCAACTCCTCTCGACAACACCGAGGAAATATGTCGAGCCAATGGGGTCAATCATATCTGGTGCCCTGTCGGATCCAAGATTGTCGCTTTATTCATCGGCTGCTATGCTGCCAAGAACTTCCGTTACACGCTCCTCATTGATGATGACTGCATCCTACCCGCCAATTTCCCAGTTGTCGTGTCTCGGTTAACCGATTCAGTCCGCTGTATTGGATACCCAATCAAATCTGTCAATACCGATCCATCAAAGAGTTCATATTGCCAACAGGCTCAGGATCTCGAGTACAAGCTAGCTGGTTTACAGCGCAGTTTTGCAGGACACATCGGTAGTGCCACCTTTCCCCATGGGGCTGTATCTCTTTGGGAGAGATCTTTTTTGAAAGAGGTTTTTCAGCACCATCCCGGATTTAATATCAGTGAAGATTGGTTCTTGGGCAATAGCTGCCGACGCTTAGGTGGCAGGATTCAGATGTGCACTGCTGTCTTTGTGGAGACAACCACACCATCTGCTCTTTTGTTTGCCAAACGCAGCCACGGCAGGGGCGGCTTCGGTGAGATGACCGTATTCAAACAGCGATTCCTGCGCTGGGGCTTCTTTACCACCAACGGAATGTGGCACAATTTGTCATATCTTCTAGGGTCCTGGAAGTTGGGTAAATGGGAGGCCGGAACGAAGCTCTTCGTTTTTCAGGAGGTACGTAGCCAGCTATTTTCAGGGCTTGCTGATTACTCATTTCTCGGAATTAATAGGTGTATGAGACCGTCTTATACTTGCTCTTTCCTTTCATACTACCTGTTTCACTTCTTGTTCGACCAGGGTTCTGCATCATAATGCTAGCAGCAACATTAGGGCTATATATGCTCAATACCATCATATTTAACGAAGTCCATCTGCGATTGAAAAATGAGCGCGTCAGATGGGAAGTCCTGTGGTACCATGTAGGTTCAGGCTTTCCCTTTGCAGGGATCTCTAGGGTCCCGCTGATGACAGCGTGAGCTAGATACCCTACAAAGTGTTCGTTGTCCTTACGAACGTCACCAGCTGCTACTGGTCGCTATTCAAATATGCCCGGTATTTCGCAAGGCGACACCCTAAGCTCACGGAAGATCACAAGGCGGTCGGGATGGTGTTGAAACTGGAGAAGATGACACAGAATCGACAAGGAGAGCTCAGGGGACTGAGTAGAAGTATGACGGCCAGGAAGGTTGGTGTACGTGAAGCAGGCAGCAGCTGAGCTTCGAGAATTCCTTTGCCGGGGCTAGAAGTTCGTTTTCGGGAAGTGGTACACACTGCGTCTACATGTACGGATAGCGTAGTAATAGCAATGCCGTATCGCTCAGCGATCATCGAGTTGAATAATGATTCATTTAAATAGACAGTCTTACCAATCGACCCTTGCTTTTCCTGGATTACAAGGAACAAGGGGCTCGCGTTGTCCACAGATATACTACCAGAAGGTTCGTGGCACAACAGCCTTGGTGTACACATCACCTTTAAAATACCCATAACCATAACCAGGTCTTAGAAACGAAGCCAATCACTGACTCTGCTTCATATGCCTCATTTTTGTTGATGCCAACGAATGTTAGGTTGACTTGTGTTACATTGTCCTTTGCGGATTGCGTTCCGGTCGGGTGCATGGTATAGACCCAGTCGCATTACAACGCGCTAAAAAGTCCAGATGTCACCGCTTTTCTGGATCCCGTGTGCTACTTTTGCGATTGAAACTGATGAACAATAGCATTAGCAGCGCCTTCAAAAGTGATCCCTCCCAAAATCATGAAGACAGGCACATCAACACCAAATGTCTTGCCAATCCAGTTACGAACCTCAATCGCGCATAGCGAGTCAAGTCCATAAGAATGCATGGGCCGGTGCAAATCAAGTTGACCTTCTGCCACGCCCAATAGCCCTGTGATACGGGCAACGGGTGCTTCACTGACGATCTCCGTGCTCTCATTGACTGATGTGGCGGCCACAAATTTGGCAACGACATCCTTCGCTTGTTTGCCCGGCTTTAAACCGTGTGCATTGTCCACACCCTCAGCCTCACCAGCTGGCAGTGGAATGTGATGCATGTGCTGCCAGAATGGCTGACTCAACACAAAAGATATTTCTTCAAGATGCCCCCAGTGGGATGGTGGACGAAGGCCGACAATGGGATGGCAGGTGGTTGGGTGCGTGGCCAATTTACTGGATGGATCGCAGAATATTTCGAGCAATGCAACAATATCGCGGATGCAAGTCGGAGTATATTTGGCTGTTTCGTGAATTTGTCGTCGTCCGCTTGCGTACTCGGCATTGGCAACGAGATAGCCTGCGTCGGGTATAGCGCCAAGATTGAAAGAGATGGCTCGCTGGCCCTGAGAGACTCGATAGCGCGCCAGAGAATCTTGATAAGTGTTTCCGGCATTGTATGGTGCTAGGGAGCCGGTTCCCAAAATGCCCATGACGGATGACAGCATGATGAAGAAGTCCATATCTGATGGAAGCATGGCATGGAGGTTCCATGATCCTTGTAGCTTTGGCTGTAATGTACTTTGCCAACTAGAGAGTAATAGTTCGGAAAATATTCCCTCCTAATCAACTTGTTAGCATGGATTCCATAAAGCGTAGAGTCTTCCATTGACTTAATCTTCCCTGCATGACCATGGCGGCTTGGATACATCCCTTGATTGGTGGCATGGTGTCTGCATACTTGTTGAGTAGCGCTCGCAATGCACTGGGATTCGTGACATCACAGGCGGGCATTTCGCATTGAACACCGTGACCTTGGAATTGTAATGCCAAAGACTGTGCCTCGTTTGTCTTGGGGCCGGATCTTGACAAAAGAATAAGATATCTAGCGCCATTATCAACGAGCCATCTTGCTATCGATCGGCCAACGCCTCCAAGGCCCCCTGAGATGACGTATGTAGCATTTCAGTCAATGTAGTCGATAGTCCTGCGTGACGCGAACCTGAAAGATATGTTAATACATGTCGTATGTCCCAACGAGCAAGATATGCTTTGCTTCAAATTGGGGTACACTCACGTTGATCGCGTCCGACTCAAACAGGCGTACTACAGCGGCATCGGAACTTCCTGACTGCTTTAAAAACGCCATGACTTCGTCCAGCTGCGAAATTCGAAACATGGAGACCCGCTCTCGTGCATTCAGAAGTGACTCCAAAATGGGCGTGGAAACCGCATATTCCAGAGACTCCTGCAACACCTGAGTGTTATCACTAGCAAGGAAACAAACGTTGAGAGAAGAAGAGCCAAACTGGAATGCGGAATGGGAGTCATCGTTGGAAACGAGCACCACTCGCCCATTCTCCCGCATCATGCTCCTGAAAGTCTGTTCTCCCAGTTCATTGGCGACCGAGGTTGTGGCGAACACAATATCAAACCTGGACTGAGGCTCTGACTGTATGGATGAAAAGGTGCTTCCCACAGCAGACGTCGGTATGATGCGTTGTTCTGGGATATTGAATCTCTCAGAAGCCCACTGGCAATCTTCATTGCTGTTTGCTGTCAACCATATTTCCGAAACACCCTCGTTCAGAAGCAAGCCTACTGCAGCTTGTCCCAGAATGCTGCAACCATCCATAACCAAAACAGAATCGCGGTTTCGGATTCGACCAATATCCAACAAACCATGATTAGCTGTCAGGAGAGGGGGAATAGCCCAGCACGCATCTTCAGTGGATAATCCATATGGTAGCTTAACAGCAGATGATGGCTGAACGGCAGCAGCGGAGCGGAAACAGTTCTTGTGAACCGCAAAGACCATATCTCCTTGCGCAAAACTGGACCCAGATGGTGTGCCTGTTACGATTCCGCTGCAGAAGCTACTAAGCTGAGTGCCTTTTGGAGCCAAGCCCCGGGCGGCCAACTGGTCTTGATATTGCAGTGAGATAGCTCTGACGGTGATTGACAACGCATTGTCAACAACGGGAGCGGATATCTTGACGAGGTATGGAATGCCATTTTTATCTTCAGGGCAAGCCGCTGATAGCTTGAAAGTGGCATCAGTGACATTCGCAGAAGTCATTTGCCAGGGCAAGATTTTGGATTCCATATCGCATTCCAGGTATTTCGCCTCAACAAGACGGCGAGTATGCAGGCAACCATCAATCTCGATGTACTCTTGTTCGTATTTTTGAGACGGCTTTCGGAACAGCATCTCTCGTGTAATCTGCTTGAGATGACGTATATGGCCAGCGCTGCCGTCGAGATTGATGTCGAGGGCGATAGAGACGAGATGTAGACTATAGTTCTCCGCTCGCAATGTTCTCAAGAGACCATCCATCAGCCCATATTCTGGTGCAGCTGAGTCTCCACCACCTACCAAGACCCACAAAACTCCAGACCACGTCTGAGAAAGTAATTTCAGAACCGTCCAATCCTGCTCTGACATTGAGGCGAGGAATGATGCACCATAGCCAACCAAAGCAATGCAAAGACCGTTTGAGCTGGTGGTGCGACTCGTCGATGCTGTAAGGATGTTTGCATCCACGATTTCAAGAGGCTCGGTAAACATGTCTTGCAATGATGTAACAAGAGATGCGGCGAGAGACTGTTGTTGGGGGAAAGCGTTCAGGTTGACAATGATACCACTATAGTACGTTGGCGACGCAAGAGTTCGAGGGATGGACGACGGCACGTCCACAGCGGTAGAAATAACACAGCCAAGCTGAGGAGCGGAGCCATCGAAATCCTTGAATACCATATCGACACCTGAAAAACCACAGTGTTGCAGAACCTGACCCCACCCTTCCGCACTCAACAGTGATAGCGGGCGATCAGCTTCAGGTCCAACCCACCATCCAGGGAAAAGTCCAAAAATAAAGCCCAGAGCCCACCCATCAGGCTGGAGGAACTCTGTCAGTATCAACTTGCCACCGGTTTTCATTGACTTTCTGACATTGCGGAACGTATTTTCCAGATCGGCGGTGATGTGAAGCACGGCATCTGCCACGACAAGATCATACGTCCTGTCGGAAATTCCCTGATCAGAAAAGTCCTTCTCGATGTCAAGGGTTTGAAACACCATTTGAGACTGATGATCAGGGAACTCTTCCCGTGCCTTTTCCAAAAATGTAGACGACACGTCTGTAAAGCAGTACTGGTCGCATCGAAGGGTTCCGGAAGCGTTGGATAATTCTATCACGCCATGAGGGCCAATCATAGACAGTGCTTTGACCAGATGGCGAGTTGCAGCTGCAGTGCCTCCACCGACTTCTAAGATTTTCATGCCACCATTTTGGTGGGCGAGCAGATCGACAAAGCTTGTCGTTTGCTTCATGCATCTGTAGGTCATCAACTCGTCGTAGTATTCTCTCAGAAGGCCAGTCTGCATGAGAAGCTCTAGGGGCGTTGCAATGCCCCTGACGAAGTCGACAAGATGCAAAGCCACTTCGGCGTAGAGACGGACCACTCTGTTCGCAGACTTGACTCGATCAAAAACCGAGCCAATGGTCTCAGTGAGCGCAGGCAATGTACCTAGGTAGTAAGGTTGCAAGGTTTTGACAATAACATTTGAACATAGCTATCCCTGAAGCCATCGAAGCACCATATGTTAATGTGCGATTACTGTCAAAACAAAGAAATGAATCAAGAAACAAGAACATTTGAACATTCAAATGTAATAAATTTCGGAATTGATAGTGACTGCGGTCTTCAAACTCAAACTATTTTCTCAAACGGTCCGTGACAGTCACAACACTATCTACACGAATGGTAGCATCGCCAGAATTGGGAGGCGGGGTTGTACCGTGCAGATCCGAGCGACGGTAAGATACATCTGCTCTAGCGCCAGCGTAGTAATTTTCGTCTTCACGGGGAAATAAACGAGTAGAGCTCTCTTGTGACTCCAGGCTGTGGCCATCATTATCAGCGGTCTTATTTAATGAGACTGATGGCATCGCAATGTTTTGAATTTGCGAGTCTGGTGCAGAGTAGCTTTGTGATGCCGATGTGCCGTTGCTCTTGTTGGAGCTGAACAGAGATTGAACTTTGCTAGGGAGTTTGAAAAAGTAGTTGTTGGCCAGGTGGCGGCCCAGCACAGCCATGGGCGGTAGACAAATACACAGCATGGTGACGGGCGCCTCGGCACCAACCCAGTAGGCCAGATGGACGACGGTCCCTATCAAGGAAATATTAGACGCAGACCAGAGTATCATATATCGGAGACTTTTGACATACAGGTAATATCGGAGTTCAAGCTATTACCAGTTAGCAAAACTGTAATGAGTCGACCGATGGAAACGACGATGACACTGTTTGTTCTTTGTTAGCCGCATGTCGCGATAATCATTGGCGCTATTCAACGCTTTACCTGTAGCCAAGTACAAAGACGCCGATGATAGTCATTCTGCGTCTCACTATCATCGGCGTCTCGCAGCCATTTCCAAGCTCCAGATCTTTGGTAGGGGCAACACCAATATAATTAAGTCAATGATGACACTGGGAATTGCGCTTCCAAGCCAAAGGTGCTGGGCCGTGCCGCAGTGTCCAGGTAACAAAGAATCCCAGCCCTTCTGGACGGGAGTGCACATGAATATGGTGCCAAAGATGATGCCGGCCAACCATGCGCAGTTGAGGCAGTGGGTAGCGATAAGTGTGTAGTTGAACCATTTGGCGTTTGCGTGCCACGGAAAGATGCGCGAGAGGAGGAGCAAGGCCGAGACCTTGGTGAAAAAGAGGCCGATATCGTAGACGTAGTATACTGCATATAACAATCTGAGGAAGATGAGCAGATCCTTTGCCTCGACAAACTGGGCGTGGCGACCGAGGCCATAATGGCCCATGGCAAATGCCAGTCCACATAGAGCGAGGATCGAGGGCTACCATTAAAATGAAGTTAGCACTTTGCATAGCTCGTAGTATGCGTTTCTTCCTCTTCATTCTCTTCTCTTCTCGTCTCTTTCATTTTTTTTCTTGGGGAGAGAAAAAGATCAATTACAAAATCACTTACCACTGCTGCTAAAGCAGCCCAATCATCCCACCACAGACGCTGAGTATGTCTGCCCGCGCCGCGTGCCGCATTGTTGCGGGTGAATCGCGACTAGAAACGAAGCGAGATAGCAAGGGCTGTAACGATAGTGACAACAATGAAGAAAGCCCTGATGCCTCCGGAAATGTCATCGTGCACCGCGGAATGCGGTAAGGAAGCGGATGAAGACATGGTGTAAGACAGAGCGGGAAGAAATCGTAACGAGGTACGACAATATTCGCTGAAAAGTGAGTCAAATTTGGGATGTTTGTCACCTTCAATCTTCAAGTGATGGGTTGATGTGAGATTTGGCCTCACTTAGATAGAATGGGATGCGAGACAGACAGCCCGCTAGCGGCAGGCAGATGGTCATGTCATTCCGCTTGAAAAGATATTGATCGGAGGCTAGCATCAATGGTGAACAACCACAGTAGCTTTTTTTATCACAAGGAGGGGGCGGAAACACTGTGTTTGTCTGCAGGATCGGCCATTTGCCATGTTTGATCAAGTCAAATGTCTTGATGGTTGGTTTATCTCCGGTGCTGACGTGCATAACAGTGGAGCGTATCGTGCGGGCTGTTTTCAAGTGAAGAATCACCACGCAGGCAATTGGGGTGGAACTAGCGCGAGCTTGGCCTAACCTCCGCATCGGCCTTTTCAGCGTTGACTGCGGCGCATACTGAATTGAATTGATCTGTCACGAAACGGCCCCCAAGCAAGGTTCCCCTCTTCTCTTCACCTGAATCGCTTTTTATTTGGAATGGCATCTCGATAACTCCACTTAAGTCATTTAGCCGAGGCCCGACCAAGCGGACCTTGGTGTCCCCGTTTGGATAAATTCGAAATAGCCTAATGGGCCGATGATCATCGAACCAACATCTGAATCTTGGATTCGATTTGCTCCACGGTTGTTTGATTCACGCCCCCACGGAAGACGGGGCCACCCGTGGATCCACACCGGAGTTGCTGCCTGATATGGCAGCTTGCACGAGATGCGGGCTTGCGGGGCGCCTTTCAATTTGGAAAGAGCCATTCTAGCCAGGGAAGTCTAAAAATCAGCCCACGAAGAATTTTGCTGGCCGCACCGCCGAGTCCTTATGGCAGATCTTTCAATAGGTTGGCCGAGCCACTGGTTGTGGTTAATTGTGTCTACCCGAGATACAGGAAATATCAAGAATTGAGTTTTGATATAAGACTCATCATCATTATCGAAACTTAGAGATGTTCTTGACAATGCTAAATAAGGTCTACTACAATGAAAGAGTACGAGAAGGACTAGTTGAGTATTTGATGAACTCTTAAGTCCACATCTTCTCGCAAGCCTAATATAATGGAAATGAACAACTTAAATAAATTCAGTGATTTAATGGCGTGACTAGACATCAATCAAATACGATTTTCTGTAACTTCACTCAGGTTTCAGCTAAAGCGCATCCAAAAGCCCAAAAGACAGTCGTCTGATTGATTCGAAATATCGGCTCACATGCCATGTCAAATATTTTGATGGCAATTGGCCCTTGGAGACTGGTAGTCTTGCCGATAGGTCTGCTGATACTGCGGATAAATACTGCCTGAAAGGGCCTTGGCTGCAATGATATTGTGGGAGAATGAGCAAAGTTTTGTTTATGCGCATAGCCTTCGTTGAAGCAGCAGATTCTGAGTACTCTTTCAACTGGGTATCACTCCAAGGCCAAGAAATAAAATTCATAATCGTCCTTTCTTTCGCTCAAATATTCTGTTCTTGTAATGGTAATCTGCAGAGATGCCTGAAGTTTAAAAATCATCAATAAGATGAATTCCACTGAAATAAGTAGACAGGGCTCTCAATATATCGAAAAGCAACTGGCAGTTAGCATACGTGCAGCGCGATGTCGTTGACGAGGAATATCCAGCGCGTACGGGTGTGACTTTGGCGGCCGCCGGTTTTAGACTGCTAAAGAAGTTGATGCTCGTTAGCTGGCCTTTCATGAGGTGTTCATATTGCTTAAGAGTAGATTCCTTCAATACAATGTGCCTAAATCTGCAATAAAGTCTCTCACCAATATTTGATGGCAGTAACAAAAGTGACCTCGCCAGGTTGGATGAGGAGTATGGCTGATTCTTTATGGATATATATTAACTGCAGTTCCGCTGCTCATTCTGAAATTTTGTCCATCAAGTGGACTCTACACTCTTTCGACGGGTAACTCTCCAGAGAAGCACCACCCATCGTCTCAACCAGCCAAAACAATTCAACATGGTCGCCAGAATCTCCTACAGTTCCCGTCATACCGCACGGCCCCTCCAGCCAGTTCCGCCTGGGAAGAAGCCTTCCGACCACTCTCGCATTAAGATAAAGTTGCGTTTCAGCGAAAGAATTGGACGCCGAGTAGCAAAGCAAAGCATTCCCTGCCCTCAAAAGACAGAGACACATCGCCGCCGTCGGCATTTGCTCAGCCGTAATGCCGCTGACTGCGAGGCGACTCGAGTCGATTGGATGCTCCGACTTCGCCCGATGCCACACCGAGTGTGCTAGGTCTCTCGCAGTGCATCTGGAGATTTTACCCGTACGGTCGCTCGATGCAACTCAATTTGTCTGGCTTCAGCTGCCAGACTCAGACTCTTGGTGACTTTTTTCCCAGGCCTGCGATATACAAAAGAAGCCGCTGTCTCGGTATGAACTCCTTCGTGCCTGTCTACATTGATTTATGTATCTTACACAAGCCTGCTTTGAATGGAAGTGCGACTGTCTTGAGGTCTTGCAATTGAGAATGAATAATATAGACGTGTGCCTGGCTGTAGCGACCCATGATATTCACGTTGAAATACGTAAACAGTCCCTTCTTCCATTTAACTAAAGATTTTTGACCCACAACGAAAATGAGAAATCTAAACAAATTCAATAACGAGGAAACATATCTTATACACATCCTTGCAATTTTTCTCTTCATACACTTCCTAGCTTTCCGTCCAGCAGCATACTCCAAAGCCAACCCGCAACTCACAGTGGCAGCGGCCCCTCAGTCACAATTGATGAAAGACGGTTCCTTTTCGCGCAGATGTAGGCTGAATGGCTAGATGCAAGAGGCTACGATAGCTCCCAATTAAGCCATTCGTGCAATCAGCACTTGCATCACCTCGTGCGAATAAACAATGAGCGCCAAGGTGGTCATCAAGCACATCGCATGAAAGCTAGGCCCCCAATGATGTGGAACTCCTAAAGCCTCCAATGGCTGCAACATGTAGATGACTAGCCCGAGTATGTTGCTTGCCAACAACTTCACAAATGCAGTAGCGAGGGGGGTCGGGAACGACGCTGGCCCTGCAAGAGCATGCATTGTTGGCATCAGCGCTAGCATGATGATGGACAGGATATCAAGAGAAGTACCGGAACGCGGCGTCGACTGTCTATTTCTCACTTGAAGATGACCTAGTGCAACTGCTGTCAAGCCAACAAGATAGCCGAGCTGTGTCCAAGACCAAATTGGTAGGAGGAAACCCGCTGCAGGCAGGGCAGTAGCCCATATTGAGATAGTCCCCGCGAGCTTGATAAGACCACTCTCACTTGCCAGTGGCTCGTCTGTGATGATCTCAATCACATAGCTCAGAGCTGCATACAGATAGCAGGATGCAATGCTGACAGCGAAGAGAAGGACAAGCACAGCTGTGGGTACCAGATCCAGGGAGGTCGGCAGATGGAAGAGAAGGAACTGAACTGCGTAGACCAAGAAATAGAGGAAGCCAACACTGGCGATGATGGCGCCGCAAAGGCAGCTGGGAAGGCGATTGGTATTCATTGGGGAGTGAGGAGGAGACTTGCTTTGAGAAGGAAGACGGCGGACTGGGTCTCAATATATAGGCTCGAAATCTTTCTCACTGCATTCGGTGCTCATCTCAAGCGTTGATCTCCGCGGAACGGTGACCCACCAACTAAACGCAGAAAACGCTCCGTTGAGTGAGCATGTGTGCTAGAGTTGGTGGATGAACCACTCAACTTGACGGGAGGCTTTGGATATTTGTATTGACTGACTATATCTCAGGCGCATAGAAACTTGAACTCAGTAATAGAGTCAACCCCAACTGTCCAGTGACTAATTTCATTCTCCGCATCATCTTGCTTTTTGCATATAATAAGCCCTGCAATATGCAACAGCTCATTGAGTTATCGCAAGAAATTGGTCAGCAGCAAATCGAGAATCGCTACCTCCGCGAATGTTACAAAGCACTCAAAATACTGCAAGAGAGCACGGCAGACATGATCATGGTACTTGACGAGCTTTTCGAGTCGCAGACACAGGAGTCCATGACTCCCATCTATACGAAAATCTTCCGGCTACAAGAAAAGACATGCCAGCTGACTACGCGCATGGACAGAGCCCAGGAAGCATGCGAGGAACTATGTCCACTTCATATGTCATGCTCCGTTCACCAACAGCTAGAGCCCATCATACGAATGATCATTGACCAGAGAGCTCTAACTGCTCACGCAGCCGATTTTGATTGCGAGTCCCTGCCTTGAGGTTTTTGAAATATTGCAGGTATTGATGCAGGAGACAACGGTGGCAGGAGACTCGATCATTATGTATGGTAGAGAAATATGCTCTGAAATGCAGTGCAATGTATTCATGCTCTTTAATCCTCGAATCATCACTCAGCTTGGAGTGCGTCGGTTTCAAGAAGTTTCAGAGAGGGATAGGGTTCTTTTCCTGCTCTGTGGCTGCTACCCATAGATTGAGCAATTGATTGGTATTGGCTTATCTTTTGCTTGGGAATGAGCCATCCAATTGATAAACCCAATGAAATGCACACGAGCTATCTATTTGAATCCACTAGAATGTCTTGTTTAAACAGATGCGAGCAGTGAAAAAGCCAGTAGTAAACAGGCATTCAGTAAACAGGCATTCAGTAAATAGACGTTCAGTAAAGAGGCGTTCAGTAAACAGGCATTCGGTAAACAGGCATTCGGTAAACAGGCATTCAGTAAACAGACATTCAGTAAACAGGCATTCAGTAAACAGGCATTCGGTAAACAGGCATTCAGTAAACAGGCGTTCAGTAAACAGGCATTCAGTAAACAGACATTCGGTAAACAGGCATTCAGTAAACAGACATTCGGTAAACAGGCGTTCAGAAAACAGGCATTCGGTAAACAGGCGTTCAGTAAACAGGCGTTCAGTAAACAGGCGTTCAGTAAACAGGCGTTCAGTAAACAGGCGTTCAGTAAACAGGCGCTCAGCGAACAGCCGCTCAGCGAACAGATGCATTCGGTAAACCAACAACCATTTCCAACCACAAGAAAAATTCAGTCCAAAAAGGCGGGCCACCAATACCGATATTCTACGTTTATAAAGGGCCCAGGCTACCAGTCTCTATCACTATTCATTTCATTTTCCTCAACTTTCATCCCAACTCTCATCCTACCAATGGCTATGCATCCGAAAAACGAACTTTTGACCACCTTGTCTTGGCCGGACTACCCCGAAGAACTTGTCACCGCCGATGAATCGTCTTCGCAGTCAACAAACGAAAATGCTCCATCCGAAAATACCGATGACTATGACTTTGTCATTTCCGATGAAGCTACCACTGAATACTCGTCGAGCGTGCCAGACTCGACCGGGCGGGACTGGTCCAGTGGGCAGAATGAGGAGGTAAGACAACCATCTATTCCAGTTCCGCATGACCGAAACTGACCTCTTTTTAGCATGGCCAATTATGGCCAATCAAAGCTATTGCCGTACGTCGCGTAAAAGAGGAGGGATCATACACTCTCAACTACTTGGTGCTGTGGGGGTCTTGGGAGGAAGAGCCACCCCGAAAGGAGCACTCTATTGGGACGAGTATTCCCATTGAATTAAGTGGCCGTGAAAGAAGTTGTTCATATTTAGAGCCGAGTAGCTAGGCTCGTTTCATTCGCAGATGCTTTCCATGAGACAGATGATGTCCCGTCGATTAGAGTATATATCAGCAAAATACCAATTGTTGTCCATTTAGATATGTTGTCAGGAGCCGGGAACGATTTGAAGCTATTTGATCGTCGCTACCAGGGCTTATTACAGATATATACTCACCATTCAATGGGTCAGAGCGCTCGGTTGATATCGTAGAAACTAATTTCGTTATTCAATTTTCAATCTGGCAAGGCCCATTTAAACGTTGGGAGCAACAACTTGAGGGCGAGAAAAGATTTGAGTCTCATGAGCAAAGCCACAAATTTGACAGCAAAATATTTCGCAGGTCCACTTAAAGCAGAGGATGCATCAGCAGTCCGTCGCTAGTCCGGTCGTGTTTTTTTGAGTCGGGGATGGAATTTCCGTAGGACGCACAACGGCCAGAGTTCGAGTGGTGGACGAAGTGGTCGTCACTCTCTCGGTGGTGTTTCGGCCAACTGTGCACTCACTCCCGACTTGGAGAGAAGCGTCGATTGTACAACTGGCCGTCTGGCCTTGCAGGTTTTGGAACCGTATCAGACCAGTATCATCGAGTTGAACGGTCGCGACCGAGCTTCTGTTCCCGGCATCATGGCCACAGATCGAGACGTTCATGAAGCGCGGCCCGTCCGCCACTCCTGATTTCACTGTTGGCGAGTGGCTTATTAGCAATAATCCAGGATGCATGGGGATGCTTTCTCACAGTCACATGTTCTTCCTTTGAGATTCCCAATTGGATCCGAGGTGCCCGTACAATCCCAGTTGTCAACTGAATAGATACGGCATTTTCCATCGACATCGTAAAGCTGAAATCGGCCCGCAAGGGTCAGGGGTAAGCCGACAGTGAAGAGATAAGGAACGAGACGCATGGTGCTAGACTTGATGGGTAAGACTGGATGTGCGATGTTCACTTTTATGTTCTCTTCAGGTAATCCGGGCTACGAGACTTGGAAGGCCTAACATGATCAATGGCGTGTTCCCAACTTCCAGTTCAACCCTCAATTTTGACCCAATCGCTGGAGCCTCATCTTCTGTCTGGCATCAATATACCAACATTTCTTGGCTCCAGGTTTCTACATATTGTGCTTGATTTGCAGAGTAAGGCTCCATGGATTATTGCTCACGAGGTCAGAAGTCATGTTGGTTTTTTTTGCGCTCTAATTGCTGAGCTCACTATCTTCATTCACCTCATATCCACCGTTTTTGCCGAAGACTATTGAATGGGTCAGAAGATGTCAAACGTTATCGTTCTCCAGTATTTCAATCTAGAGATACTAGAATCGTTTAAAAACAGGCTTGCGTACAAAATAAATCGGCTGGCAGGCGCTCTTTTATTCTTATCATGAGATCAGCGTACCTAGGGTCCGGCGATATTGCGGTATTGGTGTATTTTAATGGATGGCATTTTATCCATCAAAAAAGAAGCGGGTGATGTTATGCTTCTAAGATCTAGATGAGCGTTGCGTCACCCTGTAGATGTTGATAGCGGCCAGGTCGAGGACCCCGAAATTCACGATTGTAAAAGCAGCCAAATTGAGCATTTCCAAGTTAGGCTTGGCAACTGTTTTACCCATGGCTCGGTTTTGTCGGTGATTGAAGTGTTGAAGTCCACCGAAGCGTTTACTCAACGTTGGATGACCGCACCTTGCAATATGAAATTGACTTTCTTGATCAATTCCTTGGCAAAAATTCGGTTTTTGCAAAGCCTGACTGCGAAAAAGAAACATATATATATAAGCGCTCAAACTGCTCTGCTACTATTCATCCCTGACTCAGATTTCATTTCCCGCATATCTGACTGCCCCCACGATATTCTGCAAGATGTCCTCGCCTATGGACCGAAAGCACTGTCAAAGCCCAGAACCACTCATCGACCGCCCGGACAAAAAACTGCGCCAGTTGTCTGAGGATGGAGAAACCTCATTTTCGAAAGCGGAGGTGCTTGACGGGAGCCCTAGTAAAATGCCCCAGGTGAGTGTCCTGTCATGGAAAGTCATCTATCCTTGCACACATACTGATGACTGCAGCAATCCCAACCCATTGGCGCTCTGGCGGTGCAGATAAGACAACTACTGGAACTCGATGGGCCCCTTGTGGCACAAGGCTTTAACCTTCTCGATTTGTACTTAGCTATGTGGGAGTGTTATATCGTGAAGTCCGCCCAGGATGTGCATTTGGCGGATGAAAACAGTAAGCTTCAAAGCTCGCATGACTGGCTCGTCTATGAGAGTGGTCTTCTCACACAGCAATCGCGGGAGATGGAGCTCGATCTGGAGGATCAGAGGAAGAAGGCAACTCACCTCCAGCATACCCTGCTCCAATCTACGCGTTCATGTGCCTTCAAATCTTGATTTAGTCTATCCTTAGCCAATGAGATTAATAACATATGCCGGAACAAATTTTTCCATATTTAAGCTGATCAAAGTAACATGATATATCAAGGACTTGAACTAGACTTCTTTCCGGGGACATTTCAATCCTAAGTTCAATTTTCAATGGATAAACAAATAGAATGTCTGCGACTTGAAGAAGATTGGGTATGTCAATTGCGCCCGGAATTGTCTGTTGGGATTTTCTTTGAATGCGCAGTCCATCCCGATATCAACAAATTTAAGCACCAATTGGCAATCACTACCCTAATTCCAAGTTGAAAATTTAAATATCTAGCAAAAGACATCCCACATCAAAAACTGAATTTATTTATTCGAAATTGAGATCCTGCCACCCCCCTTTTCCGACAATTAAAGGGATGAAAGGCTTGTATGTCTTGATACCGAGTCCATTGTTATGCGGTCGCGGGCTCGAAGAGCCTGTTCTTCAATAAACCGTTTTGCTCTCGTATTCACATTGTTACCTGCGTCGTCTGAATGCTCTCTTTTTCTCTTGTTATTGATTGATGGCCCGAGACTATCCTCATTGTTGAGACTAGCAACTAGCTGCGAGCTAGCGTGAGTTGAGTAGTAGTCAAAAATATCTTGTGGTGGGATAGAGCGCCCAGTGTCCATTATTTCCACTCCAAAAGAATTTGCATCTAGCTCAGTGCTAAATTGGTGAATCCACTCAAAATCGTACGGCATCTGTAACTGTTGCTGATCCCTTGATAGCCCCGCGAGGTTGAAATTCATGATCACCGGGCTTGATTGGGACTGACTGGCTGAACTCGACAGTGTATATGCAGAATCACTGATCAGCCCCCTGCCAGGAGTCGTGTTCCATGAGCTCGGCTCGTTGGATGTGGATTCACTCGGTTGGTCGTACCCATTCACTGGACTGACTGTCTCGCTTCCGAGAGGAGGCTGGTTGGATTCCACCTCCACCTGCGCTTGTTGCAATGGAACCTCACAAGTTGTTGAACTAGTCCCGGTGGCAGTAGTCTGAAGATAGCTGAAGAAGGCATTGAAGACGGACTGGCGCAGAAATCCGGCAGTCACGCGGTCAGGCACTGATCGCTGGCGCATCGAGCTGGCTGTGAGGGCGAATCGATCTGCTCTAGCGGAATTGGAATAAGGTTTTCCACATCGCTTGGGGGCTTCAATCTCATGCTCCGGGTTCTCGGGAAATTCGCATGGTGGTGGGGTGGGAAGTAACATGGTAGGTGCCGCAGCGGAGTCTCCATCGGGGGCTTTAAACCCCCGAATTCTCAACAGAGCGAAAAAATGCCGCCAAAGTTCCGCTGCCTCTATTCCATCTTGTGGTACCTGCTTATCGGATTTTAAGCGGGTGTGACCAGTCATTTCAAACCCGTATTGAAAGCTGAACCGCCAGAGCTCCAGGAGACCCTCTTTGAGCCGTTCCTGTCGCACTGGAATCGTCCCCGACCGCGCACTATCCCATGTAGCACAGAGACCAGCATCAATAGTGGCGGCTGTGTCATTCGGGACCGGCAATAAGGCTTGTTTCATGACGTTCTGAGCTACCTCAAGGTAAAGACGATCTTTGAAAAATGTTTTTAACGTAGGGATTGGGTAATCGATCCTGAGGATGTTTTGCCAGACCTCATCACGAACTTGATTATCCAGATTTGCAAAGAGCTGCCCGTCATCCATTCGTTTTTGGAGAAACTGTCGATCTCTCATCGATACTTTCGGGGCACGAGATTCAAGAAGCTCAACCGTCACGCCATCAATATATGGAAGTAGCTGTTGTCGCCCCCCAACTATTCTCAGGAATGTTTGCAGGATATGCTCCCAGTAGCAACATATGGCCTAGATGTGAATATATGATCAGCGCGATACTGTTGGGAGATCGATAAGGATGTCGACTCACCTCATCACAATGCATTGCAGTGATTTTATGGAGAACCCCAATACGCATGGCCTCCCACAGTCCTCTAATCGCAAGCAAGGCGTTCAAACTATTGTGCAGCTTTGCATTCCTGAAGAAGTTCCGCAGACCTTTCTCTTTCGAACTTCGTGTCTTTGTATTGAGGGCAGCCCACCAGTCGTCAGCTGCGGAGCGATTAATGTGACCATCGAGATGCCCCTCGTAGTAGTTGATTCGCTCATAAGCCAATCCATCTGGGGGACTGAGATCATTAGGGATCCGTTCCTTCAATGAACGAACAAATCTCTGTTGGATTATCCCTGCGGCGTCGCCTGCAATGATACAAAGCCCACGATTGTGCTGATTAGTGCGATTTCTTTTTATTAGACTGTCAAGAGCATTCGAAGATCCAACAGATCGTCACTTACCTGAGTCCGTGTCCAAAACATAGACATCAACAATCCACCACTGGTCTGGGCCCTTGAGCCTGATCTGGGCTGCGTTAATGAGACTCTCGTGGGTAAGCTGGCACAAAAAGCAGGCTGATTACAATGCATACTTCTTTACTGAGCGATGACAGATGGCTAGTTATATATTCACACCATGTAGATAAAGCCCATTATAATGTCCTGGTCACCCTAAAATACAACCCCGGTTTTACCTTGTAGCTCCTCAAGAGTAGGTTTACGTCCCCATACCCGCTTCCTACCCGGTGTTATTAGCATCCATGAGACCAGCTCCGGACCATTGGGTAGATATACTCACACGTATTGATAGACATGTATCATTGGATTTTGTATCTCAGCGCGAACTTTGGCGACAAGAACATGTACCTCCTCTTTACTCCATGGATGAGGACATCCGTGTTTTGTGAGAAGATACATTGCCCACCCTTCCAGGCCAGTGGTCCATTGGTGAAAGTGAAGTCTTCCGGCTTCCTTCAACATGCGATCCTTGGGCCAAGGTCCAATTGGTAATTTGTCAACCTTTTCATGAATGTCAACAAAACCAGCATTTTCCATGGCAGTACGCATCGTATAACAAGTGTCAAGGGAATGCCCCCATTTCTCTGCTGCAGCCCATGCTGCTTGCCCGAATGAAACGATACTGCTATCTCTGGGTAGACTACCATCGTCACAGCGGACTCTAGGGTCACCATCCCAATGCTCAATCCACCCCCCAGGCTCTATATTCCTAGTGCAAATTTCATTAGCGACTTCAGTTTCCTTCTTCTTTTCTTTGCCGGGACGGAGGCTGCGGCTTACTCGAAACATTGCTGATAAACAGAAGCCCATTCTTCCCGAGTGAAAGCGGCGATCATCTGGCGAAGATGGACCAAGTCGAAAGGCTGGCGCCAGGTCCACACTTTCAGGACATCATCAACTTCCATGACACAATTGGGCGGAAGCCATTGAATAGGAGGAGGGTACAAATCGACTCCTCGGACCAACGCTATATCTGTTAGTCGAGCAGGAAAGCGCGGGGCAAGTCTGTAAGTACCTTCAGGGTACATGTCGGCGACATCCCTGGATCAAAGTTAGCTGGAAGCACCACAGTGTTGAGTGAAAATCTTACACAGCCCAAGTTCCTCTCCCCGTACCCAAATCAAGTATGTGCTAAATATAGCAATCGGTATGAGTAAAACAATTTAACCTGGGACTTCAACTTTACTTTTGGAACCTTCACTGGAGATTGAAAGAGAGGATTTGCGGTCTCAGAATCTAACACGAGGCAGACAACGTGGCTATCAAATAACTATTAGTGACCTCTTGTTCCCCTTATAAATCCTAAGTCTTCTAAAATTCACCCTATCTCCAGACTTTCGAATTGTTGTTCATCCGCCGGCGCCCTGCCTACGTTAGATTAGTTCACCAGCTAGAGTAATATGCAAACCAATATTCTCCCTCTCGAAGATTTTGATATCTGATTTTATTTCAGCAACTTGGGTGGCCGTAATAACCATTTCAACACCAGGCTGACTGACCTTCGTCCGTTTTCTAACACCCCGCGGTAGATAGAGGACGCGAGAGACGTTGTTTCCCTGCATACTTGTTATATCTACCTGGAAGCTAAAATCTGAATGGCCGATCACTCACGACTCAAAGTCACTGGGGAAAACCCCATGCTCAACAGAATGAAGATCGGGGTCCTGCGTTGCATTATTAGAAAGGTACTCGCTGAGATGCACTAGCACGTACGACAGCAATTTTTTCCTCACTCATCTTTTAAACGATTGAGAAATTCCGTCGCAGGTCAAAAAATCAAGGTAGAAAGCGCTGGAAATTGAGAGGCAGGTTGAGACAGGTTGTGGATAGAAACTGGAAACAAGTGGGATCTGCGCCGGGGCTCGAAGAGGGAGGGGAAATTGTCAAACTTAGGAAGCGGTCAACACCGCTATGACCTTTTGGGATAGGCTTGTTCATCGTTCACCCAATTTCCCTGGGTATTGGTATGGTATTAGGACTAAAATACGGTTACGGTGTCGTAACACACCAGAGCACGGACAATAGGTCACAGAGATCGCTCAACCGATCTAGAGACCTTTAATCAATCAACTGATTCTATTGGACATGCGCAGTACTAGCCAGTACATCAATTCCTAATCTTGACAGAAATTGCTATGGGTACTTAAATTGTCAAACATCTTGCCCCCTTTTCTTTTCAGCGCTTTGTTGCGATTGATTGGCAAAATTGGCTGTTACTAGCGCATACTATCAGCCAATCATAATACGTATCTGGTGCGTCTAGTGTGTCTAGCCTCTCCACTCACACACGAAATTACTTTGGGCTAGGCAAGCCCGAAGGCGGTCAACTTTCGTTATGTATGTACAGTGCTGTGCTTTTGACTTCCTCCAATGACCCCAGATACCCTTCTGGTGACTCAATTATTTGCGGGTATCATTCAACCCGAATCTGACCTTCGTGTATACTGCGCATGATCGTTCTATTTTTTTCATTGGCTTTCATAGTGTTGGGCATCCCAGTCTGTATAATGGCTGTATCATTTTACTGGCTAGTTTAGCTACTGTTGGGGAAATTCGTGATGTTATTGAATGGATGCAAACAAAGGCGTAATACGTGAGCCTTTCAGGCCTATTCCATCTCGGGACTAGTGAGGGCCGGTCGTCCTCACGATCCACGGTAGCCGTGCCTTACCCTACGGTCTGGACACCAAATGAGTGGGGCCCCATTTGGTGTCCCGCAGCGCAATGCAATTCTCACCGCAATGCAATTTTTTCGTCTTTACATACAATTTTCTTAGCAATTTAGAATTAATCACAAAAAGCAATGACCTCTCCCGAGTCATCGTATATCGGCTCTGCGTTTGCCTCCATCTCAGCGACTTTCTCACGAGAGAGGGCCGCTGGACCGTACTTTTTCTCCATCTCCCTTGCCGTACGTCTTTCATCTTTTTTAACTTCTTTTGCCTTCCTCTCAGCTATGCTACGTTTAGCATCTTTAACACGTATCACACTATCCTCACTAAGGCCCATAATACGCCGTCTAGTAGTTTTTTTTTCTCGTGGGGCTCGATGGCGGCCATTTCTCGTATAGTAGCCGTAGTATTGGCTAAGGCGTTAAAATAGAATTCTTGCTCATCTAGAACCTGTGCAAGTGTTTTTTTCTCTTTGGGCGTTAAATCAGGCCGGCAGAGAAGAGGAGAGAGATGTTTCTGTCTTTTTTCAATATCTCTGAAGGTTTTTGAAGGTGTATTTTCCAAACTTGATGATAAAAGGGCTGGTTCTGGAGAGGGTGTTTTCTTTCCCGATAGATCAATTTCGATATCTGGGATAGGAGGAAGAGTATTTTCGAGACTCTCACAAACTTTTTTTGCGTCAACTGGATAAATTCCTCGATCTAAAAAGGCATTCCGACACATCCGGGGTGTAAGGGCTTTGTTACGGAATTGGTAAAGGTCGTTTAAGAAGGATGATTTTGATGCAAGAAGACCTCCACCCCATTGAGAAATAAGGTTATTTTGCGTCTTAAAATAAGCCTTATAAGCCTGAAAAGGCTTACCATCAAGAGGTTGAAGATAGTTTGTTCGATTTGGCGGAAATCCAAAGATTTTAATACCTGCTTTGGTCGCAGTATCAAGAAATTCAAATGTCAGATGTGAGCCACAGCCATCGACTAAGAGAATACGTTGTTCTCCTTTTTGGACGCGACCGCGTGTTTCTCGGTCAAATTCTTCCATCCAACGCACAGCAAGCTTATCAACGATATAGCCTTTTTCTGCGGTCGCAGTTATCCATTCATCAGGTATTTCGTGGTCATACCACGACTCCATATGATGCACTCCTTTAAAGATGATTAAGGGCTGCATTCGCCAACCATCAGCCGCGATACATTCTGCGACTGTAACCCTTTCACCGTGCTCTGTGCTGGAAAGGTCTGTAGCTTTGCCTGGTTTACTAGTAAACACTCGGCGAGTCCTTCCTTGCCCAATTTGAAAGCCAGTTTCATCAAAATTGTAGATGTTCTGTGGCTTTATACCTTCAAGAGCTTTGGCCAATAAATCATACCAATGATATAGCTCTGCGACGTCCATATACCCTAGACGCTTAGAATCAATAATTTTTTGCCTTCTAAGCTTCATTTCTGTATCTGGGAAACGTCTAATATAGCGATATACCCAATCTTTTCCAACCGTCCGATCTGGTGTCTTTGACCGGGCCAGCGTAGCATTAGCCCAATATTCTAGCGGGCGTCGGGGGGAGGAAAGAAGCATCCAGAGCCTTTATCCAATAGCCTAAAGCCTTCTCCTGCCGGGCATTTAGGGTGTAATTTGATGGTTTTATCTCTGTTTTTGGCCTTATATTCCGTTTGACACGACGCCATAACAAATTGTAATTAACGCCAAATTTCCGCGCGACCTCGCGTAAATTTGGCGTTTTTTTGCTTCGAGCGAATTGCACGGCCTCATTTACACGAGATACCTCAGTTTCAGTAGAATCGGGCATAGTTAAGGTAGTATGTTGTGGCGATAAAGATGTGTAAAAAGAAAAATTGCATTGCGGTGAGAATTGCATTGCGCTGCGGGACACCAAATGCGGGTACACGCGTTTGGTGTCCAGACCGTAGGGTAAGGCACGGCTAGTTCCAAACCACATTGCAGATCATTACCGGTCAAGAATTTAGCCAAAACGTGGTATTCCATGGGTCGTATCCAATAGTGCGCCTCGAGAGCCTGCGCCCAACTTTTCAATAGAAGGCCATTTTCGTACCGACGAAGAGTATTTTTGAAAGTTTCGCTTCGCCGCTTATCGCTCCACTTCCCCCGACGGGACGTCCCTCCCGGCCGATGAAAATGCCCCGTAGATGGTGAATGACATTTGACAAAGCTATCGTGATCTACTCTGTTTTACAACATCCCCCAATCACGTTGCCCCGTATCGCAATGATACCGAAGACAGATGGATAGCTAGGCAACGTGTTGAAACCCTTCCCCCCTCCTTTCAGATAACCACAGAATAGTAATTCCCTTTTATCGGTGTTTGTTGGAATTGTGGAGATTTCTCGAATAATGGTCTAGCAATGGTGCGCCAGTGGTACCACGGTACAATCGGTCGCATTTCCAGGTCATACAACCTCACTAAGACGCGTTTGGAAGCTTCTAAGTTTCCTACAGGTACGTGGTCTCGCAGGGCACTTGATTAACAGGTTGATCAGTAAGTATCTGGTAATGAGAATGCTATTGAGAAAGCCAATGCTAGTTGCTCTGCTTCTTCATTTTTGCTACAATAAAGAAAGGACTTAGGCAAATGACAGACCGAGGCTAGGTTTAGCAGGTGGGGACCTAAGCACGGTCCTGTATTATTGTCGGTCTCCGAAGCGCTGAATTCACGGGCCGTAAATCTCTGTATTAAACGCTTGATGCATATCCAAGGACAAAGTATGGTTCGCACCGCCATGCGGAATCACAAAATCTCCGACTCCGACGCTAAAGCGCGGTTTCCAGATGCCGTATTAAAAAGGCACTGTATCCATGTTTTTGCCTGTGAGTCATTTCTCTCCCCTTGAAAAATCAACAAATAGGCAGCCGCGTCCTCTTCTACAATGGATGACGCTGCTGAACCAATCATTACATGCCCAGTTTGTCGAGGTGAGACCAACTACATACAAACATTTCATTTTCTACTTGAAGAGGGTCATGATGGCGAAATTGGGACAGGGGAGTTGATCCGTCGTCATTACACGGATATCATGCATTTCACCGAGGAACAACGATCAGAAGAAGTAACTGTGCATGATTACTGCTGGGAAATCGCTCAGCGAGTTTTTCAAAGAAACACTTTTGACCAAGTATGGATCGACAATTTCAAAGACCATGTGATACTTCTTCGGCCTTTCTTGAATGAAGTTCCCTTTCGATACGAAGCGACCTCTTTAGATTCGGATATTTTTGCAGTCTCAAAGTCAGCGAAAAATAGGGGAACGCGTCCGAATCGCCTCCATCTTCCTTTACCTCCGGAGATAATTCAAATGATCTACAATTTCCTCGACAAAGAAGAGGACCTAATCAACCTCGCATCATTAATGGAGACTAAGCCAACCTCGGCGCATTGGAATCATTGGGCATACAAATATATGCTGCACGATGACTTGGATCCTGAAGCAAACGTTACAACTGTTATTCGGAATCTTCAAAAGATGCCACAGGAGCGTTATCCAAAAACCGTCAATTACAGGACTATATGGGACAACATGGAGTTGGTTCGTGGGGTCATGGAAAGACCTGTCTCGTGGCAAAGTTTGCTGGATACCTCTCCAGCAGATCAGAGGGAGTCCACCGAAACATCTGGCCAATTCCGATGTTCCATCACAGTACCAGAAAACGCTTATATAACCTTCGTTTTCAATGACGAGGCCGAAGGACACGCAGAACGGCTGCGGGGTATATCAATAAATGGTTTGCTACTCGGTCACAGCGAGGGGAGATGGCACTCGGTTCACGTGAATTTCCTTAGAGGATTGAGGGTTGCGAGCATCGGGAACCATTACGCTGCCATTCAGGTGAAGGATTCTGAGCGCTGGAGACACGAGTGGTTTGGAGAATGTCCAACGCATAGCTCGCTTGTTCAAATTGAGTGGGATACACCAAACTGCAAGCTTGTTGTGTCATACAATGTAAGTTTGCATATCTTGATGCCATATCCCGGGTACCAATACTGACACTTTCCTAGGGAAACGAGATTCAGGAACTTGGACTTGCCACGGGGCAAGATGTAGGGTTAGCTTAGGTATAAATATCTGAAAATGACTCATTTCAATGATGTCGGTACATTCTCTTTCAACGAACTCAAATGCCAGAATCTTCAGGATCGGCAGTGTAACACGATGGTCATTATCTGGAAGATATTCGAGAGTAGCTATGTTACAAGATGGGGTTCACTTACAATCTTCCATCTTCGACCCTCACCTTTCTTTAGACCATACATATAGGATGCTCCAAAATAGCTCTCTGTCTATGGCGGAGTGTGTCTGTAAATTTGTCTTGGCACACCGATATAGTTCTCAAATCTCGCGAAACAATGCGTGTGCGTTGATATAAGATAGGCCTGAAGGGACAGTCTTGCGTAACCTGAGACCTTAATGATTTGGTCGAGTTTTGCCTGAAGCATGCCCTATTGGGCACGGTATTGTTGAGTGGATCAGAGAAATGACTTCTGACTCACATGTCCTGGTAGCGGGCTGACAGTCGAGCCGTATTTAAAGGATTGACCTGGGGCGGTTGAATATAGACAGGGCTAGTCGTAAAACTCCGTGTTATAACAGAGTCTTCTGGGGCATAGCCGGGGAAGAGTAATCAATCGTGTCATCATGATTGAAGAAGCTAAGGGCGGTGAAGTTTGTTTAGCTCAGCTCGGTAAGGTTCATGAACACTTTCCTAGTACGGGACATGGTGATGTGGTCTAGAATCGTGGTGTTGATCCTGGCTGGTAGACACGAGTTGACGGCGAACATCACCGGCGTAACGGATCTAAATGACTCCACTGGTCGGGGTGGTGTATAGTCCGTGCCAGTGGGCGAAGGGCAAGGGAAAGCTAATGCGAGGACCTTATCTTGGCAATCATGCAGGAGGGGCCTTTTGGCAAGATATTGCAGACGATCTAATGCTCGAGGTGCGGGCTCGCAGACGCATGTCGATCCCATCTCTCCCTGGGTGATAACGAGGGCACCACTGGGAAAGTACCCACAAGCCTCTATAGTGCGACGCACTGGATGAGTTTGAACAGTCAAAGATTATCTCGTTGCGGCAGTGGAGCTAAAGAGCTGGCGAACTGGCGGAAGAGATATCTCACGCAGTCGCGAAAGCAAGAAGCGCTTCCATCTTCGTTCGCAGCCTCTCCGATATTTAGTTTGCGAAGTCATAACGAGGCAAAGATGCTGCATAGAATCCTGGCTTGGGACACCCGGGCAATTCGCTTGGAAGCACAGGAAGTTGTTGTTGTCGCTACTTCCGCGTAGGGTTCATGAACAATGTTTTCTTTGCCTCGAAAGTTGCGCCGGTATGCAAGTACCGTTTAATACTCGCAGGATACCTGTTATTGTCAGATAGCCGCAATTTTCTCAACGAGGAGCCCATTGTCCATTCTGGATCTTTGCCATCGGAAGCGATGGCTCTATCTTTGGTGACAAAAACATCTCCCAAACTTGTATACAAGGCTAGGAGGAGAATAGAAGAAGGCGGCGAGGTGCCAGGCTTGCATGCCCAATGACCATCTCGATTTGGTACAAATTCACGATGCTTGGCGCTAGGGTAAAGTTCGTCGCGCGAGGACCTGCGGGATTTTCGCCCTCGCGAACTCCGCGGAGGAAGGGGTAGACCCTGCCGTTGTAGGGCCCCTTGAATATAATCTCTTCAGTCTAAGGGATTTGCACTCGCGCCACGCATCGCATCGCGTATTTCTAAAATCAACATGTCGGTCGCATGACTGCCATGACTGCCTTGAGGGGCCTCAACGATTTGATGTAGTAGCTGCTTGGGCTAAGTAATAATCAAACCAAAAAAGTATTTATACAAGGACATTGGACTGCCTTCGATGATTTTCTGCCGGACCCACTTTTGGTGATTGAAACGCTGGACACGAAACACCAGCGGATCTCGTTGCCAGAATTGTCTGTTATCGACCGATGTTTCTCCTGAAAGCCGGCCAACCTGATCGAGGGAAGTATGCGCGATCGACAAGGGACTGAGCATCCAAGCAAACCTAGACACTCCACCAGTACCGGAGAATTCAGCTTGCGCCGAGGTTGACACGGGTTCGGATGTTGCAGGAGGAACAGGATCATCTTCTGTTCACCACTGGTAAAATGGTTCAAGGTCCAGGTCAACCAGTCGGATATGACCACTCGCATTAGTAAGAATGACATGGTGTACAGCTGCACGTATAGTGTTGCTTGCACAAACTGAGAACAATTAGCGTTGTGCTAATCACAAAGAGTAAAACACTGGGAAACACATACCCGAAACCGCGGTCGTTCCGTCTGTGGATCTCATATGCGCCGAGTCCCTGTTCCTGTGATGATTCTTTCAAATGTCCGTTTTTTAAACATTTTGTAAAGAACAGATGATTTTGCCCAAAGCAAGTCTTTTGAAATTGTAATTTCTGGATGACCACGCCTGCTGTTTACTCTTGAATGACTATCCCTTTCATGTTCATTATGCTGATAGAGTGTTCATTGAAAAGGCTACTGGTTGACAGTAGCTGTCAAACAAGTGATTAATCATCAATCTCATTCAGCCAGAAGAGCAAAGGTGTTAAGAGATTATGCGCATGCAGGTTCATCCGGGTCGGTGGGTGTTGAACCTCAATGAATCTCTACAGGTTGATGGGCAGTTGGAGGTTAAGAAGGTAGGGACCCATGCGGAGGTACAAAGCCAGGTCTAATTTGAGCACAGTACATGCATGGCGATGGAGGAAATTAATGCAACAAATCACATCGACAACATTGACTTCGAAGAGACTGTTTTCCGCAGCGCCTCGGGCTCTTTGCGTGGGATTGTCCTTTCGTTGAAGGATATGGATATTAGCCTATGACTGGTGAGTTCCCTGTCACAGTGAACGTTGGAGTATTGCTCACTGTGGAAATTCCAGAGTCAACTGCTTTTTCATTATCCCATGGATACTTAATCATTTCTGTTTATCAACTATTGTAAGTCCTGTCTCGTAACTTTCATCAGCTGTTGACGTACCTCTCAGTCAACTGTATGCATCAAATTAAAATTTTGGCGCAACATTGGACTAACAGAAATAATATCCCGAGAAGAAAACATATTTCTCCAGTGACTTATATCTCGAGGGCTTTGGCGGCTATTGCACTGGTGAGCTCCTGTTATTGCAGTCATTAATAGATGGCCACCCTTTGCGTCGGCGCGCCTCGTCATACTTAGCGCACTCACAGACCCTGTGCTCTGGGAATCAACATTTATGGAGTACATTGCTGGGCTTTTTATCCACAGCCGGGGAGTCGTATAAAAGCAGGGATATCCACCTTCTTCTCTAGACAATGAGAATATTCAAAATCATCTCCAAAACGACCATGCGCCTCTTCCTTAGTTTGTTCGCTGGAAGCATGCCAGTGGTCTTTGCCGCAACTTTCCATCTTTTCGATGTTAACGGAAAGTGTTTAATTTATTCCGTGGGCAATTAGGATTGCACTGGGTCTTCCGAACCCTTCGCCAACCTAGTTGGAAGGAACTGCTATTGTGAGGAGCCTCAACCAGCAGTACGCTAATTTTATCGCTAATCAAGCTCTTTTTTTAGTTGGACAATCAACGGCTGACGAGCCCCGTACCGTCAACGTCACAATCTGCGACCAAAACTCCACAAATGGTCATTCAGCTGCCACCGTCCGAGTTGATCAGACGGGGCTAATCTCATTTCAGAACCAGGAGGGGCAAGTCGCGAGCTGCTCGATCGACTCCTCTTTTCAAGTGGGAAGTGTGTGCACTGCTGGTGACGAGACAATGGATCAGGCGACGAATATTCCGAACAAGGCGACGCAGACAACCGCAATACATTCTACCCTTACAAAGGCGACTTTGGCCCCTGTGGTAACGACGGCACAACCGTCTGATTGCTAATACATTAGGCTCCTGGGACATATTCCAAGGCCCATAGAGGACTTTGAAGATGTCGAACGCCGCAGGAGAAGATTACCACCTTTCCTATTACAGATTGATGATTCAGCGCGTGCTTAGATCCTATATTACTGTTTTTGTATGTAAAGCGCACGTAAGCGTACGTAAGGGCTATACAACTAGCCTGCACGAATCAGGCAGGATCGCTCAACTCGATCCAGCACCTAGATAGAACAACCCTCTCTGAATGTTATCCAGCTGTACTATTTCATACGCGTTCGCCCCTATCCGACAGAAGATACCTGCTAATGGCTGCTGGCACTCCCTGGACGGCAGAAAAGATGGATTTGAAGCTATTCAATCAGGTGCTGAATATCAACCATACCGAGTGAGCGTACAAACTTGATGTGGCTCTGTGCTGGGAGGAGCTTGGTGAGACCATCTGCGGCCATCTCCTTCGTGGCTACCAACTTTATACCGATATTGCCGCTCTGAACCTCCTGGCGAAGCCAATGATGATGAATATCAACGTGGCGAAGCTTCGTACGAAGTTGAGGGGTTTCCTTGGTGAGAAGGTCGACGGTTTGGGCATTGTCGTATTGGATCTCGGTGCTCTGTTGGTCAAACTCGAGATTGACAGCGTGTAGAAGTCGATACCAGAATATAGCTGACTTTGCTGCTTCCGATAGAGCTAACAGCTCCGCTTCTGTTGTTGAGGTTGTCACAGTTCGCTGCTTACTTGCCTTCCAATCTACAGCGCCGCCGAATAGCTTACAGAGATATCCTTCCGAGCTCTTTCGATCGTGATGGTCACCGAATGAAGCATCGCTGGCGAATTCGAGTGCTGGAAGATCATAGGTCGGATGGTATTCGATCGCGTGGAAACGGGTATTATAAAGATAGCGAATAAGGCGATTGACTGCCTCGAGGTGCTCGGGACCCGGGTTAACGAGGAATTCAGCTAAATGACTCGCTGCTTTGGCTGCATCGGGCCGAGTAATGATGGTGGCGTATAAAGCAGATCCAACCTTCTGCTGATACTCATGGACTTGCTTAGGTGTAGCCTGCCCGCTGTATCGAGCCATCTGTTCAACTGGGAGTGGTGTCGTTACTCTCCTTCCTCCTGTGAGATGATATCTTGCCGCCATTGATGCGATATATGAATCCTGACAGAGCCAGAGCTTATTCTGTTGAAGGTCTCTGAGCATTCGAATACCAAGAAACCAACTAGCTTCTCCCATCTCGCGAAGCTCCCAATGCTCTTTAAGCTGTTGCTGTAGCTGAATAGCTTCTTGGAGCTTGGAACGATGGTGTACAATGATGATGTCGTCCACATAGAAGAATAGAATGATGCCACTCCTTGTGAGTAGACATGGATCTTCAGGAACAACAGAGAAATTCAACTTTTCAAGGACTCGAGTGGCTTCTTTTTGCCATAGCCGTGGAGACTTGCGCAGTCCATATAGAGCTTTATGAAGCTTCCAGACATTGCTCCCATTGGCAAAGCCTTCTGGCATCTGCGTATAGACTTCTTCATCAAGATCACTATTCAGAAAGGCATTGACAGCATCGAGCTGTATCGTACCAAGATTGAATGCGGCAACTAACGCGAATATAGATCTTGCTGTACGCGCTGCAAGTGTTGCTGCTCGCTTGTCTTCTGAATTTATGGCTTGAAGGTCTCCTCGTACGCAGATCCTTGCTTTGAGCTTCTGGAGAAAACCATTACTGTTATATTTATAGGTGAAAACCCATTTCAATGGCAGAATCTGTATGCTCCGGTCCTGTGGACGTGAACCTACTGAGAATGTTCCGCGCTTCTGGAGAGACTCAATCTCTAAGCCTGCAGCTGCCAGCCATCTTTCTGTATAAGGATGCTTCAGCATTTCTCGCCAATTCTGTGGCTCTGTGGGAAGCTCATCTCGATGAAGTTTGTGTGTGTCTGGACGTGGTGCAGAGATGCCGGTAGCAAATGCGGCAAGAACTCCCTCATGGTCATCGTTATCATCATATGTGATATAGCTTGTGTATAATGAATCTTCTGGAGCTCGGCGCTTCCGAGTGCCGTGAATAATATTGTCTTCTGAGATTCCTTCTGTACGGGGGTGTCTGTGCCGTAACTGAGATTGGAAGTTGATACTCGGCCCCGGGGTGTCGCTTGGGAAGCTACCTGGGACTGAAGGCGCTGGCGTTCTTTGCCTTGCTTCTTCCTGATGGAGGCGTAGGGGTATCGGTGCTATTGCTGGGCTTGCCGGTGCCAATGCTACGCGCTCTGGTGCGTACGGTGGCGGCCTCAGCTGCCGATGTGCTGGTGTCTGTGGTGCTGCTTGGGGTGTTGGATCAGGCGTCAATTGCCTTGGTGGTGGTGTAGGCAGTGTCACTGGAATTGGTAGTTCTGAATGATGATATACGTCTTCAGATCGTGCAGGTGACTGCTGCTGTTGTGGTTCAGCCGAAATATCTGCATTCGAAACTTCTTGATATGACTGATGTGAAGATGGTTTTTCGGCCGAAAAATCTGTCCTTTGTTCCTCTTGCGGTCCTCGACGTGATGGATCCGACACGTTAACTAGACGCTGCATAGCCTGTTGAATCTCGCGATCTATCTCTTCATCCTCCACTATCTCCGTAGTGGCAGGTACATTTACAGGCTGTTCCTGTGGGCGGGCTAGATAGTTCAGTCCTTCATCGAAGACTGCATCGCGGACGTTCTTCACAGAATTTGTCTCAGGGAACCAGACTCGCCAGATATTTGTTGCTCGGTAGCCAACAAGATATCCAATCTCTGCTCTTGGATGCATCTTATCCAGTTGTGGGATGCCTTGAATTCTCACATACGTACGGCAACCATATATATGGAGATTCGAGAGGTTGATCTGCAGCTTAATACCAGTGCCTAGACGATGGAAATCTTGATGTGGAATGATCCATCTACCATCTGGAAGCTTTGTCGGCGATCTGTTCAATATATAAGCTGCGGCTTGGGCAGCCTCTGGCCATAGTGCCTTTGGCAGCTTTGAGTCTTCAAGCAATGAACGGGCTCGTGTGATTATCACCCCCCCCCCCCAGATCGCTCGGCGAAGCTATTCATCTCCGGTGTTCCAACGACGCTAGTCTCAACGATAAATCCACAATCTGTGAGATATTCCTGAATCTTATGGCCGAGTGAACGCTCATTGTCAGAGTGAAATACGCGGAGCGGTATGTTAAACCATCGAATCATCAAGGATACGAAGTTTCGTACAGCCTCTTGGCATCCGCTCTTCTGCGCGTGTGTCTCGATATGATGATATCGAATACCGTCAAGATAGAAATTTGTGATCCAATTATCGCCGTTATAAGCTTCTCTGATCCGGATTAAGTCGAAATGGGCTCGTCCGAGTGGTCCAAATGATGCTCCTTGCACTCTGCGTGAGACTTGACGCTTTGCTTTTGTTAATTGACAGACTTCACAACACTCAGGATTTGATTCAGCAGTATCCTCTGACGGCTGTGTTAACTCAATACCAGCTGCCATTTCTGCAAGCTTCTCGACACGTTGATCATACATATGACCAAGTCGACGGTGCCAGCGCTGTGGTGTTGCCTTTGAGACTGCTGGTGCTGTTGAGCGGCGTTGAATGGAGGTGTTGAATGCTGCAGGGGCCTCCACGTGGTCCTGTGTCAGCACGAATAGTCCATTCTCTCCGTGAATACGGGCAACGGTATGTTCGGTTCTCTTGAATATGAGGACATCTCGTATAGTGTCCCACAAGTATCCTCGTCGTTTTAGGATCGATAAAGATAAGAGGTTTGCGTGGAAACCAGGGCTATACTTGACCTCGTGAATATCAAGAGGGATCTCACGTCCAATAATGGGATGCTTCCCATAGATCCGTACGATTCCTTGGCCTTTGAATGGTGTCGAGGTGTCTCCAACCTTAACAGATCCATTCGCCTCGTGGAATGTGGTAAAAAGGCTTCGATCATGTGTGATATGCCTATTTGATCCAGAGTCGATGATCCAGACATCCTTGAATGGATTCTCTGGGTTCTCAGTAAATAGCGCATACGGGGTATCCTTGCCTCGTTTCTCTTGAGTTTTGATGTCTTCTTTATCCAGCTGGCTATCGACGAACATAGCATATGGATCATGGATAACATCGACGAAATTGGCGGTTCCAGTGCTTGCAAGGTTCTTTTGAAGCTTCTCGATCTTGATGCGAGCGTTTGGACGAAGCCTTTCAACGTTCTGGGGTATTTTCTTTTGCACTTCTACGTCCGGTTTCCAACCTGTTGGTCTAGCAGTTTCAACCAGGTACGGGCATGCATTGAAGAAGTGGTACTGGCCACAGACACATCGTGGTGCTTTCTTTTGACCTTGTTGACCTCGATTCTGATGCGTTGGGTGCTGGTGCTGTAAGCCAGCTTCCTCCTGTCCATCTAGGGTAGCAAGGCTAATCACTCTGCTAGATGGCTTCTTCCTTTGTGCGATAGCTCTTTTCTGCCGAAAAGCATTTACCACATAGGTGAAGAAGACCTTGCTCGATGGGTCATGAAAGAGCTTCTCGTACCAAATACCATGAAAGGATTCATCAAGTGGCCGTATTGCAGCTAAAAACTCATAAGATACAATTTGATGATCTTTAACATTTGGCACACCTGCGCTAACAGCCTCTGTATATAGGTTCTCCCATTCATTTAACCATGAGTCTACCTGCGAGTTCTTCGGCGAAGACCTTAGAAGACGTCCCCATTGCAGATACAATTCGATCTTACGTTCTCCCTCGGCAGGTGAGAAGCGATCTCTGAGGCTACATAGTAATGTACGAGGGTCCTCAATCTCAGCAATAACCGCTTGATGCTCCGACGCAAGGGTGTTACAAATACGTTCCATAACTCTATCCAACGCACGGTTTAGAGTACTATATTCGAGTATACTGCGATCGTAATGCTTTAGAAGTCGGTGCAGCTTTGCATCGTTCGCTTCATCAAGATCTTCGGGGTATAAGGCATCTTCTTGGACGTCGCTCGGTTGCGGTTTTCGGGGTTTTCGAGGATATTCAGGTGGTTGAAGTGTGTCAGGATCGATGTATTCCCAAACATCATTACTTTTAGCTGATGATCGGATTTGGCTGTACCAGGTTCTCCATTGCGCGGATGACCTTAATACAATACCGGTGCCCATGCCTCTAGCGGGGGCAGTGTTGAGTCCATCCTTTTGATAGACATCAACATATGGAAGTGACATACTCGACGTGCGGTTGCGGGCAGCACTCTGGGCTATACCGACGCAACGTAGCTTTCCAGGACGTTCTGAACTTCGCACAGGGACTGTAGTGCTCTCTGGGCATCTACTCTAGTGCTACCGGGCTCATAACTGTCGATTCCGAAGAAAGCTGTACGCACTAGTACGGAGATAGACCAATGGGGTCATTGAACAGTACTTGAGATGTGTTATTCTAAATACAGGATGATTTGCAAAATAAGGGGATTGACTGTGCTGATTCAGCAGTTGATGCCTAAGGAATGAAAATGATGCGGAAAATGCATGGACGCTAGTAAAATGGACAACGTCATAGACTCATAGGTAACAATTGCGACTCGCAGTGCGCCACGTCAACTTCCCACCCTCATCTCCTCGTTAGTACTTGAGCCCAATGCTGAGACAAATTGTAGCTGCTATTAAAGCTATGCTCGTTTTACCATGATACGCTGAACGTTTCATCTACATGCGGCCAAATTTTGATTCAGCAAAATTGCTTTGAATGTATAAGCACAGACAACAATTGTGAAGTCAGTATGACGTGAGGAAAAGGGTTTGCGGAGTTACCAAAGTGCTAATATTATTGTTACCATTTTCGCGAATTCAAATTTTCAGATTCTGCCCTTCGAAAAATTCCTGCTAATCGACGTCAAATCTTTCTCTTTCTGTTAGACGATCAGAAGCATGACAGGCAAGCTGCCCATTGCGCGACTACCACGCGAAAGGCGAGAGAGTGGCCGGGGACGCACTAGTCACGCTTGCGACGCGTGTCGAGCACGTAAAGCGAAATGCGACGGTGATCAGCCGCGTTGTGCACAGTGCGTTGCCCAGGGAGATGACGAATGCGTTTATTCCGATAGAAAAGCTGTCAGGCTCCAAAAGGAGCTTCAGGCCGAACGGGGCAAGACAAAAGCATACAAAGAAATGCTTCAGGATCTATCATTAGATTTTGAGGGTCCTATCGCAGATCGAATCAGAAGATTTCTTAAGGTTAGTTGAAACGCCAGAATGGTTATTCGAGTATTGACCAATACTTCAATCGCAGCAGGACTCACGGGCTGCAGCTGCAAATCGCGAAAGGAGGGGCTCCATTTCCTCATCTTCATCGTCTATCGGTTCCCTTGAAGATGTTGATGTCGCCAGCGAAGATTTCAACCGTCATGAGAAGAGTCGGGCAACTGGTTACCTGGGCAAGAATTCTGAGGTTGTATGGATGCAACGATTGGGTGTTGAGGCAACAAAGCAAAGCGATGACGGATTCCTAGAACCTTCATCCACGGTACAAGGTATGCCAGATAATTCGCTGTCGTCAACTAATTATCATCTCGACGAAGAAACTTTGCAAGATCCGACGGTGCTCAATGCATTCGTTTTGCCGCCAAAAGCCCGATCAGATAAGCTATTCCATATTTACCTTGACAAAGTTCAAATCGCTCTACCTATCCTTCGACAAGATCTTTTTTGTGCCCAATACGATCGTTGTTTTCTGGGTGGCTTCAATCCGGGTGCAAAATGGCTTGCCATTTTCAACCTTGTCCTTGCCATCGGGTCTGTTTTTTCCCGATTGTCTGGCGAAAATGTTCCGGACATCGACGAAGACATATTGTTCGCACGGGCTAAATCGCTCAGTGCTTCGGAAAATATACTTTACCAGCATGATGATTTGCAGCAGGTGCAAATCGAATCGTTGATCGCCTTCTTTTTTCTTGCTATATCGCAGATAAATAGGTAAGTCACACATATATAGGGAGCTCTCACCAACCTAACATTCATTCTCTAGATCCTGGAAGATGATTGGAATTGCTGCGCGATCAGGAATTTCTCTAGGAATCAATCTTCATGAGAAGCACGACGAGCTTGACGCCGATTCTGAAGAGGCTCGCAAGCAGCTTTGGTGGTCAATATTTCGTTTAGAACATCTTCTTTCACTTATGACTGGCAGAGTCTCATGTATCGGATCGGCTTCTAGTTCTTTGCCTCCGCCGCTACCACTTCCTAGTTTGGCACATACAGGACTTGCTGGCCAACAGGCGGACGATGTCTTACACTCGCAGCTCCGCCAATTACATTGGACAATGCAAACAAATCAAAACAGCACAGATATGCAGAGCAAATTGCTCAAGTCCTTGGATCCAAGTGCATCACTATATCACTTCTATATGGTCGATTTATCTCTCATTTCCCACGCGATCAGCGGTAGCGTCTATGCGACTGATAGCTATCGAACTGATTGGGCCAGAATTGAGAGCCGGATTTCACTTTACAACAGAAGGATGAATCACTGGGCTACTCGTTTACATGCTGGTTTTCAATTCGAAGACAAGTATGGCAATCTTCTATCCACGATCAAGTCACCTTTTCAAATATCTCTCGCAATGTATTACTACAGCTGTCGAATTGTTTTGAACCGACCCTGCTTGAATCGGCCTGCTTTCGAAAAAACTAGTGGCGCACGCTTGGCCCGTTCGAGATTCAGTAATCTCTCAGCTTTAGCTTGTCTTCAAGCCTCCTTGACTATCATCGCCTTGCTACCAGACCAAGTATCATTGAAATGGGCGTACGATCTTCTACAGTGGTGGGATTTTGTGCATGTCCTTACACAAGCTACCGTGATCTTATTGCTTGACGTTGCAATTGGCCCAGTGCCAACGAAAACTGGAGAAGCTCATGTCATCTCTGAGTCGGTGCAAGACGTCTTAAAAGCGGCAAAGAAAAGCATTCGTTGGTTACAGGTCTTGGGGAACACTTCAGGCTCCGCTCAACGTTCCTTTGAGTTCGCCAATAGGTGTATCCACAGTCTCACGGCAGGAAAAGAGTCTGGTCTGAGTGATATACCATCAGTAGCTCATCATCCCCATGCATCTCGAAGCACGCGAGAGAAGAAAAGAGTTGAATTTGAGAATTCGCCGTCAGAGGGTCTTGCTCCACCCGAGAAATCAAATAGCGGCAGTATCGCACAAGAACAACCAAGTATCTTTTCTCTCTATGATTGCGATACGGATATGCCAGACGTGCCTCCGCAATTTCAAGATTCAAAGTTGGAAGATTTATTGCTGTCTATGATGTCCTCATAGAATACAACCCATGGGTCGATCGCATTTACAAAACCGATCACAGAGATAATCATTGCTTATTTCTTTTGGTACCAAATTCTAACCCAACAAAACTAGGCGAGTTTCAACTTGGAATTCTAAATTGCCATCCTTACGTACAATAAAATACTCTTCACAGGGTGTCTTGACATGATGGAGACGCTTTTCCAGTCTCAGATCATTCAAAACGATCATTTGGGAATGCGGTCAAGCATTGTACAAATGTGAGCTTCAAACCTTTTGAGAAACATTTCAGTTTCCCTAGCTTGCTCCCCGGGGACCGGTGTAGTTATGCAAGGAGCTCGAAAATTTATTTGGTAGTGTGAAATCAATATCATCGCTTATTGAATCCTCATCCCTCTGGTATCCTTATCATCACGATTGTGCTGCGCTCGTACCGACCTCGAAGTAGCGGACCTCTGAGTTGGCCTCTCGGCTGGATCAAAGCCCCAAAAGTCATTCGTTGCCCAGTTATCGCTTTTGTCTGGAAGCTTGAAAGAAGTGCTGGAATAGTTTTCTTTGCGAACGTGGGATTTCGGCCCACTGTGGGACTCAGTTTCTTGAAAAGACAGCTTTATACCCATTTCGTAGCTAAGATTTCGAATTTCGCGGGTATCGGGACCACAAATACCATTCTTTTCTTTCTTTCGGTCTTTTGTGCGCACAGTTGGCGAAGCGGGATCGAAACCGAAGTGGTCGACTTCCTGAACTTTCTGCATATTTTCATGTCGTGGCTCCATTTTCATATCGTGGCTCCATCAAATATGAGGTTGTTCAGAGTAAATGGGAGTGGTGAAGAGCTCGTAAAATGATCTTGTAGACATAAAGCTATTCCTACAAATTCCCTAATTCAATACCGGGATGGTTGTGGCAAATACGTGACGACAGGATGATATCATCACGAGGAAGACGTATCTTGTCTCCTGTTCATTTAATCGATGCATGTCAATTGATAATGGATCCCCCTTCATTAACTAAATTGATGGAATGAAAGTAATAAATACGAAAATACAATACAGCATGCTTCAAGTTGCCATTCTTCATGTCCATGTATTCGCCTTGTTTACGTATGATTCATCGAGTTCTTTGTGCTGATTGTGGGTGACTTAGTGGCCGCTTATGTGGACAAAACATGCCTTAAGCCCGGCCAGTCGGGGCCGCTTGACGTATTATCATGCTGAGCGCCCAATCAAGCCCCAGGTACTCAAGCAGCAACGCGGTTGTTTAGCTGAACTAAAGGACCTGTCAAAGTCTTGTGAAGATCAAATGCGTGTCGCTGAAAATACATGGGCTCGGAGAACTTCTCATCACAAACATTGCAAGTTATGATCGTGCTTGAAACGAGCTTTTTCAAATGTTTCCGCTTGGTATGCTTTGTCACATCGGCATGTGAGTGGAATTTCTGAACGCGCTTCTTGATATCTAACCCTTCTTGACCCAGGTAAATAAAACAGAAGAGCGGTCGGTGATCCTTCATGACGGACCGAAACGCAGATTCAAAGGGCGTTTCAGGTTGACAGATTTCGAATTGAGAGACATGTGCCTCACCATTGCTCTCCAAGCTTCGTTCGTCAAAACTTTGACTCTCGGGCATCTCGCAGTTCGGAAAGAAGACCATGTTTCAGTGCAGATATTGGCCCAGAATCCTCATGTGGATGTCAATTGGTGTGACCCCCATGAGAATACGGCTCTTCTTCTCGTGAAAAGCCTCAGGAACGAATCGTTGAGTCGAATACTGGAGTCACCGCTCTTGAATTCAAATCTCGATATCAATCACCGGGATTCCACGGGGCGCACGGCGTTGTGGCATGTAGTTGCCAGGGAGCGTGAGGAGCGTGAGTAGCTGGTGAAATTTCTGTTGGTTCAAGGTGACATTCGTTCGAATGGTGCCGAATATCATGGATCTACACCTCTTGCGCGAGCAGCAGAGCACCAAAATCGTACTTTACTACAGTCTACCTATAGACCCAACCCTGCTAGCGTAATCTCTTTATATTGATATGTCTTAAAATACTATCTGGTATTATAATAATTCAGTCAATCTTTATCGAAGGCCCGATCGCAATATCTCAGAGAATAAGGGACTTTTGGGGGGGGGGGTTGGTGAGTTGGACCCACTTCCAACACCTTCCCCCCCCCCCCCCAAACATCGGTGTTGAGACAGAATATATTCAGGCAATGAGGGGGCAAAACTGGAAAAGAAGAGTGACCTGTCGATTCTCGGGAATTCCCGAATTCCCTATGAATGATCCATCACGGTTCGCCAAGCGAGTTGCGGGCCGGGGAGAAACTGAGATCCACCGTTCAGCTGAGGGACCCTGAGGGGCTTGGTCAAACTCTGCCGCATGGCAACAGGGCCAAATATCCATGATGCAATACACAATTCACAACGCCCAACATCAGCAAAACGACAAAAAGAGCTTGTTATTGGGACACATCCGAATCAAGGATGTTCCAGTATCCTTTTCTATCGTTATTTTTTCACGAGCTGACAAAAAGATTTTCCGTAGCTTCCGATAGCTTGAGGACGAGATCGGTCCAGTCTTTTGGGTGGCTCCACAAAGGCATGCCGATCGTTGTAGATCCCTGGAGCGCACGCACAGGGTCGACGCATCATATGTACGGTGTACGGAGTGCTGTCCTTGCTGGCAGCCAGCCACGATCCTGATCGTCAAGCTTGGTACGAAGTACTACGGAGTCGATAGTGTAACGAATTCTGAGTGGACAAGGCTAGGAACAAGCATCTTGGGTATAAAGGGTACCAACTTCCCCGGCAGAAAGCCAGCACGGTGCTGTTTTTCCCCCCGCAATAGTTTAAACGACAGAACTTGTCACCATCGACATGAAGACCGCCGCTCTGTTGTCAGCCTTCCTCTCACTGGGTACGTTCGCTGCCGCAGAGTCTGTCCCCAAAACCGACTACGATGTCATCATCGTCGGCGGTGGTCCTGCTGGCCTTAGTGCGTTGAGTGGTGTCTCACGCGTGCGGAGATCTGCTTTGCTGCTCGACGACCAGCACTACCGCAATGATCCCACTCGTGAAATGCACGATGTCATTGGCAGTGATGGTAAGTATCAGCGTCATGACTGCATTAGTACCGTCTTTTAACCTGGTGCTCTAGGCACCCCCCCTGCTGCGTTCCGTGCTCTTGCCCGTCAACAGATTTCCCGCTATCCCACAGCCCGCTTCAAGAACTCGACTGTTCTATCGATCAACCCTATTCCGGGCCCTTATTCGTCCTTCAACGTCAGTGATAACACTGGCAGTTCCTACACTGCCCGCAAAATCGTCCTGGGTACCGGTGTTACCGATGTGCTTCCGAACACTCCCGGCGTCCAGGAGGCCTGGGGAAAGGGACTTTTCTGGTGCCCTTGGTGTGATGGCTATGGTAGGTACAGTACGTTCGCGTCTTTGCAAGCGCTTAACTAATACTGTCAGAACACCGTGATCAGCCTTTCGGCATTCTTGGCAACATCGCCGATGTTCTTGGAAGTGTCTTAGAAACCAACACCCAATTCGAGGACATCATCGCCTTTGTCAATGGAACAGACACCCCAGCGAGTGAAGCTGCGGCTACCAAGCAGCACGCAAGCTGGAAGGAGCAGTTGAAGGCTTGGAACGTCACGATCGACAACCGTACCATCTCTAGTATTGAGCGCATCCAGGACGGCGGTGTCCACCGAAACAATACTGCCGACGTGCAGTATGACAAGTTCCTTGTGCACTTCACCCAGGGAGCCCCCATCGAGCGCGGTGCTTTCATTATCAATGCACCTACTGTTCAGCACTCGAATCTTCCTTACCAGATGAATTTGAATGTGAAGAATGAGAAGATCGTTGTTGATACCTCGAGCATGCGCACCAATGTGACTGGCGTCTGGGCCATTGGTGATTCTAACAGCGATGCGTCGACCAATGTCCCTCACGCGATGTTCAGCGGCAAGAAGTCGGCTGTCTTCTTGCACGTGGAGATCTCCAAGGAAGACTCTCAGTCCATGATCTCCAAGCGAAGCGGTCTTTCTCAACGAGAGCTGGTGAGGGAGGCCCACCGTGCTATCGGCACCAACCTTGAGCCCGTATGGGAACAAGTGCAGAAGAAGTAATCCGGGGTTCGCGTTACGATTTGAAAAGCTTGGCATTTACATTTCAGCTGTTGTCGGCACTTAATTAGCCATTAATTATAATACGATGAGGACTGTAATCTTTAGATGAAAAGACTTGATGCTATCACTCCAGCTTCGTAGCAGCTTTTTGTTAATTCGTAGCAGCGAAACCAGTGCCTATGATGTATTTGTTGAATGATAAAGTCTAAATGTCGGGGAATCTTGCTCATAATCCATTTCTCAATCGCTCCGGGATTGAATGTAGCGGATATGTTTACTCCATCTGAGATAGGTGTACAATGTAGCCCAACATTGAAGGACTCGGCGTGCTGAATCCGGAGCGATGTCTGGATGATGACATCCTTCGACTCCGTGTAGCTACCAACGATGATTGCCCAGGCTAGGTAGATGAACCTTGAAGTTGCAAAGTCAGGTGCAGCATTCGCCACGGAGCATGTACATGTGAGCTTGGTCTCCATTGTGAGCGACATGCTGCGTGATACGCAGAGTGGTAATAAGACACAATCACTTTCAACTCGTACGTGGGACAAAGCCCTGATGATAGTAAAACTAGTCATTATTTGGTCCCCCGTTCAGGACTTAAGTTTAGCCCAACTCAAAGTATCAAGGGGACATGTTAACCGAAGGAGAAGTCAGATCGGATTTGGACAACCTAGATGAAAACTGGATTTTATGTCTTCATACCCTAGAGGGCATAGCAGGTAGGTCGGGTCGATTGCCTGGTCGCCAGATGGAAGTTGACTCGCATCAGCGTCAGATGATAAGACCATCAGGATCCGGGATCCGGCCACAGGCCGGTGTACGTCAACCATCGAGGGGCATATTAGCCCGGTCAGTTACCTTGCGCAATGTCTATTGTCGCAACTAGAATATCCTCTCAGGGATAATCGCGCCTTGTGCTCGACGAGCTACCCGTATAGCACCAACAATGCATCTCGAAGTGAGAGCCAGCTTGGTCTTGGTCTGCACCTGCGTATCCGGCAAGACCTTCAATCAGTCCCTATCCATTTCCAAAGCACGCGCACCAACTGATCCCTGTGCACAGGTTTCCCGATATAGTCATTCATCCCCCGAGCAAGGTATGTCTCGCAGTCGCCCTTCAGTGCATTAGCCGTAAGCGCCAGAATCGGCATGTTATTGTTCATTTCCCGAATACATGACGTGGCTTCCAAGCCATCCATGACTGGCATACTGATATCCATGAGGATAATACTGTATGTCAACGGTTTTTGCTTCACTAGTCGTACAGCTTCCGCACCGTTCCAGGCTAGATCGACGCGCTCAAAACCCATGCTTTGAAGAAGCTTGAGCATCACGGTGCTGTTAACAAGGTTGTCCTCGACCATCAAAATGTGCCTCTGTGGGGCGACTTCCCGTAATTTGTCCATGACAGTTCTCACCCCATCGGTGGACGATGTTCGGCGTTTCTCATTTGATGACACTGAGTCGATGCGGCCCATTCTGGCTGTGAACCAAAACACGCTGCCTTTTCCATGGAGGCCTGGCCGATAGCCCACCATGCCGTCCATAAGTTCCGCCAGACTCTTGCAGATAGAAAGCCCAAGGCCTGTCCCTTGGTATCTCTTGGATGCGGAATCCGCATAACGCGTGAAAGGCATAAAAAGAGTGTTAATAGCAAAATTCGGAACTCCAAGGCCCGTGTCTTCGATTTCAGTCCTGACTGTGTATGCTTGAGAGTCGGATTCGTCAGACGCATATGATAGAGATATTCGAATATGGCCAGCTTCCGTGAACTTGACGGCGTTGCCCAGCATGTTCTGTACAACCTGGCGATATCGCAGGGGATCACCTCGCAAGGCTTGTGGAAAGTTCGCCGGGGTCGATAATGCCAGCTCGACTTCTGGTCTCAAGAGAGACCTGCAGTTACGCATAACAGCACCGACAATACTTTTGATATCCACGATATCAGAAAGTAAGGAAAAGGATCCAGAGGAGAGCTTCGAGTAATCAAGAACATCATTAATGATCTGGAGTAAAGTTGTCGTTGAGTCCTCAATGATGGAGGTATACTCCAGCTGCTGGTTCGTGAGATCGGTGTCTTTCAACATTGTGAGAGCGAGCTGCATGCCGTTCATTGGGGTCCGAATCTCATGACTCATATTTGCAAGAAAATCGGTTTTCGTCTTAGATGATTCCTCAAAGGCTGCGATCATACGGGTTTCCGTCGCCTTGCGTTCCGTCAAGTCACGGGTCACCTTGACAAATCCAACGTGTTGGCCAAACTGATGGATTGGAGTAATCATAACGTTAGCCCAAAATCGAGATCCATCTCGTCGATACCGCCAGCCCTCAGCTTCCATTCGGCCTTTCTGCAGAGCTATGGCCAGCCCCTTAGCTGGCTTATCCGCGCTACGGTCATCGGGACTGTAGAATAATGAGAAGTGTTTGCCAATGATTTCTGAGGGAGCGTATCCCTTGAGCACTTCAGCGCCACGATTCCAGGTAGCGATATGGCCATGAGTATCAAGCATAAATATGGCATAATCTTGAACAGTATCGACCAGAATTCTGTACGTTTCGTTCACGTAAGCGTGATTTTCATCAGAAGTTTCCCAGTGATCCTCTGAGGTATTCTGAGCTTCCAAGACAACATAGATCAAAGTTGAATCTTTGAATATCGGTGTGATGCGAAGCTGATAAGCGGATTTTGAGTTCTCAACGCGTATGTTCTCGATCATCTGGATTTTCTTTGAGGAGATGGCTGCGCTAAGGGCGCCGTAAAGAGAAAGGGTGTCTGGCGCAGGGATAGCATAGGCCGGAAGGTCGCCGGCGATAGTACCCAGTATGTCTTCCCTAGATTGGCCTGAAAAGGTACAATGACTATCTGAAACCTCCACAACGAACAGATCTTGGTTGAGGATCAGCGTAGGAATGGGAGTGTAGCGATAAATAGGACTCAAATCTGCGGATGTCTGCTCAGCAAATGATCTCGTCTTTGTACCAAGCCCATCGTCCAAGAGACAGTGAGAGCCGGCTGGCCCTGCTCTCGTATCTCTTGAGGCGCTGTGGCGATGATCCTCAGCATCTAGAGCAACTGTGCCATCCATAGAAAGGTTCAGAAAGCATTCACTGAGAGAGATGTTCGGGGAGTGGAAAGCCAAGTTGAATGTAACTAGTCGACGTCGATATTACAGTAGTACCAAATGGATCGTTGAGCTTGAAAAACTCGTTGAGCTTGGGGACCCCACAACCGAAGCGGTGGGTCAACCACGGCACTATTAACCTAGTTCTGCTTGAGGAATGAAGACTGCGGGGACTGATGGCACTGGCCATTCAGAGCTCACCGTTCTACATTCTACCAGGATCTTGTCAAAAATCCTCCCATGGGAAAACAGGCCATCGGCCATGCATGGTTTGCCCCGTGTCTCTTCTGCTGGCCTCGATCTGCAATATTCTTTCCTCATCATAGCTTTGACTCCAGCAAACTGCAAGTTCCGTTTGAGTCCGGCTTCACCGAGCTGATATTCTACTCCAGTGCCTTCGGACTCTGCCACTCCTGGCTACAATGCTTTAGACTTCAACAGCAGGAATTTACATTCCATGGGGACTAAAGCGGATGGAGATGGGATACGGCGTCATATCATCACAGAAAACAACAGGCCATTCCCCAAACATCGTCAAGATCCTCCGATAGCCCCAATTGGTCGGATTTTTTTGTCTCGACACCTACCTCGCCTCGTGATGTTCTTTCAGGTGCTGTCTTCCAAGAAGCAGACGAAATGGAAATAGATGGGGCGGCAGGATCACCTGCAGACAACGGAAGGTCTTGGAATGAGTCTACGCCTACACCCGAGACCCCCTTTCTAAGCCCCACTAATTCCTATTCTACACCCGGATCGAATCCACTAGCAACGCCTGTTCCAGAGAAAGAGCGCATCGACTACACGGTAAAAAATTTTTCCAAGCAAGACGGGCGCGCCAAGAGTTCTCTTGCCATTCTCTCAAGCATCACCCACAGATGTTCCTGCTAGCGCAGGCATAGGGAACGTCCCCAATACATTGAAACCGGCTGCCATTGGACGCAGTCAGGGAGTCCCCGTTAATAGCTCACGGTTGTATCCCGACGCCGAGAATGATCTCGATCCTATGTCCACGTTCACGACCGAAGACGATCTAGGAGATGAAGAAATGGAGTCCATATTGGAAGGTGTCCATCAATTTCTGAGTTATTCTACTGATATGCCAAATATGACCTTGGAAACGGAGCCTAAGATACCAGCACGAGTCGGAAAATCATCTGGAAACCCTCACCCCAGAGACGGCTAGGTCACCGAATCAGCAGTCTCACATGCCACAGTCTCAGAGCTCGCACTTGCATCGGCTTCGTCTGCCTCCTCTCCTGCAAATGTTCTTTCGCCTGTATCGCGTCAGGCTGATGATGACGTAGGGTCTGGGCATAGCAAGAACCGCAAACGAAAGCGCACCGCAGACGTTGATGATCCAACAGCAAGAACCGCAAGTCAGAATGCCACCTCACCTTATGATAGAATACAGGCAGCAGCATCCCAGTTGTCCTTGCTGGCTGATGATGAAGACTTGGTCGTTAGTGATGACCTCTCTTCACTCAGTTCAACTCCTGGAAGTCCTCTTCTCGAGCCTGCAGACCCCGGTGCGATACAAGAACCCAGCCCCCTGGACGTAACCTTTTCAAGACTTACTGAAAGGGAGATATCTAAGTTCGTAACACTGGTGACCATCTTCTCATACCTGACTTTCCAAAATTTCTGGAACGACATTCCCAGCGCTGGTTCCCGTCTGGCTTTTGGAGTGGTGCGACTTGGAAGATTAACCAACCTCGAGTATGAACTCGTCACCTGATCGCGCAGGCCTTATAAACTATCTTGTGACTCTGCAAAATGAAGATGAGATGCAGTATTTGAGGCTTCTTGTTTCAAGGGTTCTTCTTTTCCTTTTGCACGAAAGGTAAATTGAATGCGAAAGAAGAAACGGCACTGCAGAGACTGCTATCAAACAAACTGCCACTAACAATTTGTGCCACACAGGTGGGCTGTCGGGGCTTGAGAAAAGAAGAAAGAAGAAGTCTTTCCACAATAATAAACGAATTGGGGAGTATTGGTGGTGGTGTGTCCGATTTTTCGGCCCCGGCTTTCTCCTGCGGTGTAGCAGGGTAGCGGCGAAGAAAATGTTAGTGCGATTGTTCTGAGGAAACAAACCGGTTGTAGCTGACTGAGATGCAGAAATAATACCCACTTTTCCTTGGATGCTTTGATTGCATATGTACTCCACGACCAGCCGCATATTGTTAAACCCTACCCTGCGCTTGGTGCGGCAGTAGTTCACTTATTGACAACAGGCAAATTTCCGCACGCTTTTACCCGGCAGTCTGTACAGACGTGGGAAAACTGTGCTGCCACGGCGTCTCAACAAACCGGTCCACTTCGGGTTTGGCAAGCTTTCAGCACTGAGGCGGTATCCGGTGTAGCCCAGGGCCATCTTCAAGAATGGATGAAAATGCCTGGAAATCGCCTGCTTGGTTTGTGAATCTTTGTGATTCCTCGTAGGCCGCCTTTCTTTCGGCGTTGAGTTGGCGCAAACGGATATGTAAGTGGCTCGGCGAGCTTGTGACATTTAATGAACTTCAGTAGATAAGATTAGGTAGTATCAGTTATTCACACCTGAAGTTTGCGTGTTTTTTTTCAAAGTGCTGCATAAGTTAAGGCACTGTCATCATATTCAATGAAGATAATCCGCGATCCTTTAGGCATATTAGCCAATTGTTGAGTTTCGGATTTCCACTCTTAAGTATATCCTTCTTGGTGATGATTGTATCAACGGCGAAGCTTGGCACGTGGATGCCTGAGTCCATGGGTTCAGGGTTAAAAAATTAAAAATATAAAAAATATAAAAAATGAAAAAAAAAAAAATCTCGCAGCAGAATCGGGGGTTGCTGTGTACCAAATGCATGTGGTACTGTATGAATCTGCAGGGATGGTATAGGTGGTTGGCCCCGATCCACAATTCTGAGGGCAGTTTGATCAATTTGAAATAATGATTACGAACCTCAGTTGATGACCCCTCTATTCCTACCCGTTCCTGGTCATTATTTTTTTCTTTCGCCCTCTGTTTTCGAGCTTAGCTTCAAGAAACAAAAGCTGACCCTTGACCCTGCCATTCTTAGACTGTTGATCACCGCTTATCGCTATCGACCACCATTTCACGCTTTCCCACCAACCATCGTATGTACAAATTGCCCGTGTTTGACTCGGACATTTATTTTCATTTTGTCCATTTTATCTTCGTCATATCAACGTTCATGGTGGCCTACGTTTATTCGGCTTTGAGGAGCTTAATGCGAATCAGGTAAGTTCCAACATGTAGGGATTATTTTCCGCGGTAGTGATGAGTAGACTCTGTCTGGACCGACCGGGAGAGATATTTAGCCAACATTTGCGCTTGCCTGAGCCACTGATATTGTGGTGTGGGGTTGAGCTCGTGATGCCTCACCGCCCGCCGTAAATAAACTCCCCCTTCCTCCGTTTCGTTGGAACACGTTGTTTTCTTAATCCTCAGTTCAACGATAATGCTACGTTTAACTAGTCGGTTCATGCAATCTTTCTTTCGGCGAAAACCGTCTCCGGTTCGGGATTCCCCTCGATTACGTGCTTTGCTCGACCCAGGCGACAAGTTAGAAGAAGAAACCTTGCGGTGGTACTCGCCAGATCTCTTTTACCCAGTGAGAATCGGTGACGTCTTTCATTCAAGATACCAAGTGATTGGAAAATTGGGATATGGCGGATACAGGGTAGTGCTTTTCAACGTCGGCCCATTTGTCCGACATGTAAACTTCCCCAGTATCCGGATGCACATTGGCGAATGCATAAAGCACATGGGTTAGCTGATCAACAGGCAGATCAGAAGGGTTAAAATTTCGGCCATAGATTGCCTTTGAAAAAATTAGGGTCAACTGATAATCTCCAATTGCTTCATACCAGGTCTTACCCAATTTACAAAATAGGCCATAGAAAGATATCCATCTGTAGCACGAATTTCAAGCTCTGCGTCATTGGCACGTTCGGAAATACTTGTAGCATTTGCTAGCCATCGCAGGCTTACTAAAAAATATATTAGAGCCCTCATGGCGGAATGAGACCTTCAACATCAAAGGCGCTCGAGATTCAAAAGCAGGGTACGTTCAAGTATTTGTATCGTTGGGCCTACGTGGATGCTCGCCACCGCCAGAAGGTCACTATAACGGATCCATCGTGTTTACTCAAAGACTAAAAATTAAGAAGGACTGAGCAGAGTTTTTCCATGGAAATGCAGCGATATTCTGACCGGAGATCCAGTAGTTAGCAAAATTTGAGTTTGATTCAAGGATCGCGCAACTTTTTCTGGCTCTATTTCGGCAACTATTAAAGCAAGATGCTGCTCAGTCGTTGGAATTCCAACGCAAATCTACACATAATGGGGACGAACTGGCTCTTGTTTAGCCGTTGAAAAATATTCACTAGAGATCGGGTAATGTGCGGTAGGGACCGGCGACTAAAATCTCCATCCATGCAGTCCTAAGTTGCTAGATTAAAACAATATCCATATTGTACAACAAGGGTGGGAAGAAAAAGTTCCAACCACATCTTCACCAAGCCTGACTCGTAATAGTTATTATGATTCTCAAATTTGACCAAAATTTAATTTCATAGGTGAATCCGAGTTATTGACTTCATCATAAAAGCGCTGGCGATGGAATGGTCCACATCAGCAGAAATTCGGTTGGCGCCAGAATTTTGAAGGGGCAAATTCATTTCGCTTGCTTAATCCTCGGGCCTAATCTCGTCCTATTTATTAAATCAACCTACGGCCCGGACACTGACTCTAGGGTACAGTCATTTGGTTACTGAAAATGAGAGCTCAGCACGATGGAAGGCTCCGACATCCTTGCGTTTCGCGACTCTGTAGTCGTTTCTATCCTTGACGTTTTTGGAATCTCTTATTTCTCCATATTCATATTACAGTGCCTCTTCTTTGACTTCCCTGTTGCTCAGTCAGACATAATTGACTTGCTTGCAACGCTTCTCTTCGGCATCGGTGTCATCTCCTGGTGTCTCTTGAGCCTCGCACATCGCATCCTTGTCCTCTTCGGTAGCAATGGTGCCCCCAATTGGGAAAAACTTGAGTTTTTGGGTGTTCTACTCCTAATCTATACCACAACCATCTCCTACGTGGCGATTGAATTTTCTCCTTACCCCGTTGTCCAACTTGGGTACTCTTGTGCAATCTCGTTATTTTTTGTGACGCATGTCGTCGAGTTGTGCTTGATTTCTTCAAATGAACCCACAATATGGCTGCAGTTCCAATATCACTGCACTTGTTTAGGCTCACTTGCCATGATACCTATACTCCACGCTATCACAGGCTCATTAGGGGAACCGACTCAACTTGCCAAGGAATTCACCCGCCTCGCCGTCTACAATGGTATCGGGGCTTTGCAATACTTAGCCCAGCCATGGGAGAGGATAGGTCTGTTTCATGGTTGGCATCCCAGTTTGTACATCATGCACCTTATTTTGATTTTCAATGCGGTTATAGCGTCGACAAAGCTTATCCCTGTACGTTAAGAGGTAGATGACCGATAGTCAATCATAAGAACACCAATCTCATTCTCTAGCAAAGCCAGTTCAGATAATTAAATGCCAGGCGATATGCAGCTAGTCTGAGCGCCTGTACCGTCAAACTGGTTTTGGCCTCCCATGGTAACCGGATTGTTTTTTGTGAGCCTTGTGCACTTTCGTCCAGAGATCAAGGTGATGTAGATTGGACTTTCAGTTGTTCCATACACCGGTAGAAAATTACTTTTGAGTTTCTGTGTATGGCTGAGAGAGATCGAACGTCTAACGTTGAGCGTCGGGCGTCGCAAGGACCGAGTGAATTCACAGCACCGTCACATCTTGCTAGCGAATTGCGTGCTAGCATGTGCAAAGCCAAATTGAACAGTTTGGTTGAAGTTTAGTGCGTGTGTGTGTGATCGAGCTTTTCTTTTTGAACGAACAGTTAATAGTACCGTCGAGCAAAAGACCGCTTAGAAGATTATGCCCTGTGTGTGTGTGTGTAAAATAAACCAATGCCGTGATATCTCTATACGCTACGTTTGGACCCAGAGGGCAAAAGGGCATGGTGAATCAATGGGCGGTCGGTAATCGGTCTGGAGGGTACAGTACCGAACTGAATATTAAAGACGGGCAGATACTGATGCATCCATGTCTGTTTGTTTATTTCAAGGGCCTGGAACAAAGATTACACGGAGGAGGATCATTTACATTTAGTCCGTCCGTCAGAAAGATGATTTGCTCAACCGAACTTTACACGTCAGAACACGCGTCGTTTTTGCCTTTCGTCCTGCTTACACGGTCTCCTGTGAGGCTTCGAGCACTGACATGTAACGTGTAGTGAGTAATTTCCTACATGAAAAAGCATTCCGCATGCAACTCTCGATCAAAATCTCAAGCGTCTGTGTTCCTGGGCTCCATACCTTATACAACTGACGGGCGAGTCAAGTCTGGAACTGCGCTTCTGAGTAAACATCAATCTATTTTAGCGTATATAAAGCCTTTTACCCTTCCAAGTTAGTCTTCTTCCCAAAATCCCCCTTCCATACAATCAAGCATCATGGTCTTTGAGTATGAGCCTAGCATAGCTCCAGCCACATTTACAGCGACCTGGCGTGAGAATTTCAATTCACAACAGCAGCAAGCCTCCTCGGTTTACAGTAGCCCTGTGTCACCAGCCAGTGATGCTGGCGAGGATTGTGCTTTCGAATACGATGTCCAGTCGCCAGGTTCACCACGGGATGGTGATTACGTAGCTGCAGAGGAGGCTGAAAATACCGACTGGGAACATGCATCTCCAAGCTTGGCATTGAACGGCATAGATGATTTGCAGCGAGATACATCTGAGGTATCAATCGCTTTGGTGGGTACGTTTATCAGAGAGTAAGTGCAAGCACCCCCCCCTAGCTCAATTTTTTCTAAAATTCACCCTTTCCAAGGTTAGATAGCCGAGTGCAGTGAGTTCCCAAAAAATTCTTCAAACAATCGGTAGTCCTGACCTGGGGGTTAGGCTGATGGACAAGAAATTCGGACAACAAGATGCCTGGAATGGTAGAATACAGAAGTATATGGAAGATGCTTTGGAAACACATCACAAGATAGACCTACTAGAGAAGCAGGTAGCGGCTTTGCAGGCGAAGTTAAGTGCTTTGAACAACAATAAAAAAACGGCTCATCCGAGGGGGTAGGACATCCCAATTGTCCGGCAACAATTGAGCTTATAAGAGCGCTGGCCCTGATTAATTTACAGTAGTATTTTCCTGTGGAGATCACTGCGTGTCTCTCAAGTGTTCTAAATTTTAGTTGAGGATAGATCATTTGATTGCCATGGCTCATATGCATGTCAAAAATCAACTACTCAGAAGAAAAGTCTGACATCAGTGGATCCACTAGACGCGCTCGTGTTTTGCCGCTTTCCGTTCACGGTCTTCGGGGGTAGTCTATAGCCAATCATCATCATGAATGTCCTCAAAGCTTTGTGTCTCCCCAAGAGGCCACGCCAGCGCCGTGATGTCTAGTTTTGCACGTAGATGCGAGGAGCCAAGGGCTAGTGGCTATGAGTCAATGCGCACCTTGTGACCCCATTGTTACATCGACAAAAGTTGGGGTCGAGACCAAGAGCACTTCGCGTTGTAGCGTCACCGTAACAATGGGTAAATTGATCACGAAGAACTAAATACAGATGGCAATAATGATCCCTTATATATCCAGTCCTTCCTTTCCGAAGGAGAGGTTCCCCTTTCCCTCCGTGAGGCATCCTCTCCGCTAGAGAGGTATTTCCCTTTCCTCTCGAGCGGTTCCCTTTCTGTTGGAAAGGTGCCTAATCCCGTGACTCGAGTGTTGTGACTCGTCACGTGCCTCTTGTTGCCTTGGGCCTCTGCTCCCGGTCCCCTTGGATCCCAGTCATCTTTATTCAGGATGATTGGATCTCTTTTGTCCATTTTTGACACTTCCTCATAGTGGGTCCGTAACACTGCGGTCGTTCCGTCTGTGGATCTCATATGGGCCGGGTCCCTGTTTCTGCGATGATTCTTTCAAATGCCCGTTTTTCAAACATTTGGTGAAGAACAGATGATTTCGCCCAAAGCAAGTCTTTTGAAATTGCAATTTGTGGATGACCACGCGTGCTATTTACTTTTGTATGACCATCTCTTTCTAGCTCATTATGATGATAGAGTGTTCATTGAACAGGCTACTGGTTGACAGAGCAGCTGTCAAACAAGTGATTAATCATCAATTTCATTCAGCCAGAAGAGCAAAGCTGTTAAGAGATCATGACCATGCAGGTTCATCCGGGTCAGTAGATTTTGAGCCTCAATGAATCCCTACAGGTTGTTGGGCAGTTGGAGGTTAAGAAGGTAGGGACCCATGCGGAGGTTCAAAACCAGGACTGATTTGAGCACAGTACATGCATGGCGATGGAGGAAATTGATGCGACAAATCACATCGACAACATTGAATTCGAAGAGACTGTCTTGCGCAACACCTCGGGCTCTTTGCGTGGGATTGTCCTTTCGTTGAAACTTAGCTGGACATGGATATTAGCCTATGACTGGTGAGTCCCCTGTCACGGTGAACGTTGGAGCATTGCTCACTGTGGAAATTCCAGAGTCAACTGCTTTTTCATTATCCCACGGACACTTGATCATTTCTATTTATGAACTATCGCAAGTCTTGTCTTGTAAATTTCGTCAGCTGTTGACGTACCTCTCAGTCAACAGTATGCATCAAATTAAAATTTTGGCGCAACATTCGACTAACAGAAATAATATCCCGAGAAGAAACAGATTTCTCCAGCGACTTATATCTCGAGGGCTTTGGCGGCTATTGCACTGTTGAGCTCCCGTTATCGCAGTCATTAATAGATGGCCACCCTTTGCGTCGGCGCGCCTCGTCATTCTTAGCGCACTCAAAGACACTGTGTTCTGGGAATCAACATTTATTGAGTACATTGCCTGGCTTTTTATCCACAGCCCGGGAGTAGTATAAAAGCAGGGATCTCCCCCTTCTTCTCTAGACAAGAGAATATTCAAAATCATCTCCAAAACGACCATGCGCCTCTTCCTTAGTCTGTTTGTTGGCAGCATGCCAGTGGTCTTTGCCGCAACTTTCCATCTTTTCGATGTTGACGGAAAGTGTTTAATTTATTCTGTGGGCAATTTGGATTGCACTGGGTCTTCCGAACCCTTCGCCAACCTGATTGGAAGGAACTGCTATTGTGAGGCGTCTCAACCAGCAGTACGCTGATTTTATCGCTAATCAAGCTCTTCTTCTAGTTGGACAGTCAACGGCTGACGAGCCCCGTACCGTCAACGTCACAATCTGCGACCAAGACTCAACAAATGGTCATTCAGCTGCCACCGTTCGAGTTGATCAGACGGGTCTAATCTCATTTCAGAACCAGGGCGGGCAAGCAGCGAGCTGTTCGATCGACTCCTCTTTTCAAGTGGGAAGTGTGTGCACTGTTGGTAACGAGACAATGGATCAGGCGACGAATATTCCAAAAAGGCGACGCAGACAACCGCAATACATTCTACCCTTACAAAGGCGACTTTGGCCCCTGTGGTAACGACGGCACAACCGTCTGATTGCTAATATATTAGGCCCCTGGGACATACTCCAAGGCCTATAGAGGACTTTGAAGATGTCAAAATCCGCAGGAGAAGATCACCACCTTTCATATTACAGATTGATGATTCAGCGCGTGCTTAGATCCTATATTACTGTTTTTGTATGCAAAGCGCACGTAAGCGTACGCATGGGCTATACAACTAGCTTGCACGAATCAGGCAGGATCGCTCAACTCGATCCAGCATCTAGATAGAAAAACCCTCTCTGAATGTTATCCAGCTGTTCTATTTCATACGTGTTCACCCCTATCCGACAGAAGATACCGGCTAATGGCTGCTGGCACTCCCTGGACGGCCGAAAAGATGGATTTGAATGAGTTGTATTTTCTCGATGTGAAAATTCATTGAAAGGTGGCCAACGACCTGCAAGCGCTCTAGTGGAGAGGTGCCTGGGATTTGACATATTGTTGGCAGAGAACCCGCTCTAGGGCCGAGCCAGAAAGTGTTCTGGGATTCTCTTTGTACAAATGGAGACGAGCCCCAACGAATCCTTTCACTGACTGTATTTTGAAAATCGCTTGAAACACCACGGCGCTTGACTAAGTCCGAGTCACGTTGTTTGCCCCCTACAGGGCATTGCTAATTAGGAACAGCGAAAGTCGAAAATGTGTTTTAGGTATATGGTCTCGAATATTGACCAGCAGTGGCGAGGGAATCATGGGGGCCATTGACGCCATGAGGCCGCGCGCATCATTGGGCGTGCACGGCCTATGCAAGGACCATGCCTTGATTTTGTGTTGATACCCCCGTTGGCGTTGTATTCAGCACGGGCCTCTCGGGTAAAGGAGAGCCAAGCGGCCAAGGGGCCAAGACAAGCACCGAATGATCTACGCATATCGCTGCTTATACTGGATTGATTAATGTCGAGACCTGGCAATTAGCTTACCAACCCCGTCACTTTGTACCCTAGTCTAATGCCGTGATAGGAGTACAGCTTCCACTGAATTTCACGTGCCTTAAGCGTTGCCCAGTATAAGAAAGCCTTCAGCCTCAGGTGTGCGCCTAGATGTGCTAGTGTGGTAGCTAATTGTAGCAACATATACGTGTTTGTGGCGCATGGATAACACGGCGAGAGCAATTCAGAGGAAGAATTGGTTACCAGTCCAGATATAGCATATCACGATCAGCCTAATTACTCGCTGTACTAGCTAGTGTCGATAAGGCCCCATCGTGCCTTCTGAGTGGTGCTATCAAGCAAGAGAGGTTGCGTGTGGTAGCTATGCATCGCGCGTTGCCGCGTCACCCCACGTGCTGGCCACTGCTTTTGGCACCGCAATATCGGAGGGCAGGTCTCAGGAATGCCAAATTTTGTCTAATCGTCACAATGCACGGTATTCTCACGAAGGGCCGTAAATTCCTGCGTCTTGTGCACAATTGTGCACAACTGCTAATGATTTGATATCACATCACTTTTCCAAATATAGACCTCGCCCATTAGGTCACGTTGAACGCCCACGCCTACATTTTATTCATTCCTCGAGCGCCCTCGAGCCGGTGGGGAGAGGAGGGGAAAACCCCAGAGACCCTTTATGTAGGTTGGCGCGGCAACTCAATCGAGAGGATGACACACATAGGCGACGGACAAGACTAGCTCCTCAATGTAGTGTAATATCATTCCCAAATCGCTTTGAGCGAATAAAAATTCATCCGGCGTTATTCAAGTTGTTCTCACCTCGCATGCGCCGTCAAACCCTTTCATATTTCCCTATGTTTGGTGTGTTTGGAAATAAGAGAAATGATAACCTCGTTTGCCGTGAAGGGACTTGTGCGATCTCAAGCTTTTTTTTCTTTAACTGGTTTCCATACTTAAAAATCTGTCGAGTCGTCCTCGATTCTTATCATTGGACACCCCTTAGTCGACCCAAAAGTGATGATTGTCTTCCGAATTTCCGATTGCCCCATTATGGTGGCTGCGCTATGAACTCGAGTCATGCGAGACAGGTATTTTCAACAGGCCTTTGCTAACTTTCGGAGTATGTGTTCTCCTTTGAAATTCTAAAATCGAACTCAAGATAATTTTGCCCGGACAAACGGCGTATGACGTGTCACAAATATGACGACGATGGCCCAGTCAAGCTGCTTGATCAGATCACGGAGCTTCTTTTGAGATTAAGTATCAATACAGTAAGTATTCGAGGTCGACTCATTTTTCTAAAAAAGTAAAATGTTCTCCGTTCCGAGAAGTTTTATAAAAACTAAGCCGAAAGTTTCGTCCTCGCGTCCAACGCTTGCTGAACAATGACATTGAATCTTGCGTGCCAGCGAATAATGGTGTGGCAGGTATGCTTTATGCAAAGGGTTTTTGGTGACAGAAGACCTTGGATCAAAGTGCTTGCCGCTGAATAATGCTGAAGGAGGGCCATCCAGTTGCCTAAATACTCCTATTCAAATGGTCGTTGTTAGCATGGAGACCTTAAATCGATGAAAATGAAGAAAAATGGTCGTATCGATACCTCCAATGTGGCTAGCACGAGAGTCGTGCATAGCGTTGCTATACTATAGCTTTCTGTGCGGAGAGATTGACGCAAAAGATACAGAGCTTGACCGTAGTATAGTGAATAAGATGTTTCGTCCCCCGAGGAGCAGCTCAGAGCGGAGTGATAGGCAGAGAAGCTCACAAGCGCATAGGTCAAAGGTTCATAATGCAACGCCAGCGCGATCAGATCATGTTTGATGAAATTGCTTGAAGCGCCCAAAAAGAAATGTCTACAGCTGAGAAAGTTCCGTAGATAGGCTAAATGAAAGCGTACCTGCCCAGAGTAGCGTTGAAAATGGAGCTGTGTAGCCAATGCACCACCAGTATTTAGTCCTTTCTCACGACGCGACATACTGTTGGAATGATTTTTGCTCGAAGCCAACGGGTACTTATCATCTTTTCCATCTTGATCATTCACCAACGAAGGGCCTTTTTGCATAGAAGTCTTGTGCATGATATCCGTAGGCCTGGCAGTAACAAAACTATGCCGATGGTAGTTCCTCTTCCTTGTGGTGATAGCGATTCGCTCGATATCTTTCCTTCGTGGAAGACAGTTGCCTGGCGTTGGGAAATCGCAAGTCCAACCTCCATTGTGACACCTCTGGCAAACCGGATGGCTCTCGTCGCACTTAACCCTTCGAGCACGGCATGTAAAGCAGCCGCTGCGGCTTCGTTTGTGCCCCTCTCGTTTCAAAGTCGACTGGCAGGCGTACGTCCTCTCTCCCATGTTTTGATGATAAAAGTAGGTTTCTTTGGCGATGGCGATATGCCCGAACTTTGATTATTGAATTACACATCCACCATAAAATGACCAATTGGGGTGGAGAAGTAAGCCGGTGGAGCTGGGAGGTGGAAGGCATGTCCATTGGCTGACCACATTGGATCGCCACGCCCTAAAGGAAACTTAGATCGCAAAGTGTGGTTACTGGATACGACCTGATATACTTTCAGCGACGGTATAGAATCAATTCAAAGGCCAACCCTCGGTGTGCCGGAGTCGCGGGCTCTACGATAAATTTTAAAAAGACAGTAGTATTGGAGATCTCTTGTCGCTCTGATGAATTGGTAGTTTTGAGCAAATTTTCGATATTTCTCTCTCCTTCTCCTTTCTTTCAATCATCGAAGAATCTCCGATGATCTCCCGAGGTTATGATCCATACATAGGAGGGACGTGCGAATCCAGCAACCTTCTGGCCAACCAAGCAGGCGAGTTATGACATCATCATACATAATAATATGTGATGAAGCGGGGCCTACACAACAAATTAGGATCTAGCGTAAAGGCCTAGAGCTTCGTCCAGAATGCCTCAGGGGCTAGTGTGGTGGCCTGTGAGAGGCTAGCAAGCAGCAGCCTCAGAGCGTCGAGCGCGTATGCATGTCTCGGGCTCTGTCACACAGCAAGCTGGGTCCCTTGGGTCCCCACTAATGAGCGTCGGCTTCTCATAACGCCATTCATTCCGCAAGAGAACCTCCGATTCCATGGTCACAGAATGCGTTTCACAAATTACTCTGGAAGCAAGGATCGAAGCTAAGCATCAAGCCGGCTGCTACTGCATATGAGCGATACCTCTCACAAAATGGGTAGGCTTTATTCATGCCTCATTTGGAAATGACAACGGTATCGATATTGTACAGAGAAGAGAGCCAAGACTCTTGCCAACTACCCGGGCATGAGATTAGCTGCAATGATGCCTGCGTAGGTAGTAGGTTTTTCTCTGCATATATGGCAGTTGTTAATTGCAATGATCAACTCAGGATAGACGTGCCAATCATTGGGCCAAAGGTGTTTAGGTCTAAAATTAAATGTATTTATCACTGGAGGGAAACCATTGATCTTTGAAAAAGTTAAATCTGCATTCAGGTCCCGACGCTCCATCAGGTCGATCAGAACCCGCTCATGGAGAAACCACAACGGGGCAGTTTTGAATTTATTGAACCTATTGGGCGAACTGCCTAGGGTGAAACTAATAGGATCCATAAATAAGATGATAAAAAATCTTTGTAGATAGAGCTGGAACAGGAACTTGAGTTAGTGACATCCAACTTAAAGCAATGACAAAAACTTGAAAATTTCCATTTTTATATACATTGCTATTTAGCTCGGTCATTGGTATTCAAGCCTCATCAATGATTTTGGGGTCATGTCAATGGTTCTTGGTCTGAGCCACTGGTATTTCTTCTTAAATGTCTTTCACCGAGAAAGGTAAAGAGACGTTGGATGCACGCGTTGTTCCTTTAAAGAATATTTTACATTCCAGGGGCAACGAGCAAGGCTGTATATATGAAGAAGATCATTTGACTTTGTATCAACTTGCAACTCGCTAATAGACTCTGCGATGCAGTTTCTCCCACTTTAACAATGGAATGAAGTCGACCATATATCACAATACCGCCTATTAAGGGCTTAACTCAAATAGCGGCAACATCATTGTTCTAGACTTCTATGGGAAATACCGGAGTTTTCGTGTTCCTCCAATATCTTAATAGTTTGGAAGATAAAGGCTCCTCGGTCGAAGAAAGGTAAAGGCGATTCATAAGTCCAACGACCCTGGATGTAAACTGCATTGAAACTCTATTTCCAAAGGCAAAATCAACGATAATTGCTAATTAAAAGGCTCACCATCTGGATGCCGGCGAATTATTGGGTGGACAGCACGCGGTGACCATATGCACTCAAACCGCGACTCGAGTAGACCCCTGCAATTTTTGCCCTCTGGAGAATGACATGGCCCAAATTTTGAGAAAACCACATGAAAAGCTTAGTCGACGATCACTATTTGCTCGCCAGCAAGAGGAAACTCAAATATAACGCTGCGGACACCGCTCGTGGATTTTGGCCTTTGAAAGAGGGTATTAGAAAAAAATGGAAAGGACACCATTCCGCACTTGTTTTGAGCATTTTGCAATATTTATATCATGATCGGGAAAGGCTGGTGCAGTGCGTCTTCCCATTCTTCTGGGCATCAACGAAGAGCCTTAGCCGAATAGACCTTCGAAGTGCATGGCTCGGTGAATACGACAACCAACTTCGCCTCGGACGTTCTTGATCGCTTCAACAGAGCCGAGGGATAAGATGACATGATCCCTCAAAAAAAAAAAGATTGAAATCTTCTCTTTAATTTTAGCTACCACAAAATTATTAGCCAGAATCGAGTAGCCTTGGAATGTGGAACAGGTTTTTAGCGCCAACTGAACTTTGCGCCCCGAAAGACTAATCACTCAAGGATTCGTACTCAGGGGCCAAATAAATTGAGTGGTCAAATGTGATGCTAATTCTTTTTTACATCTCGAATGATAAATTTTAACATTTCCTGTGTCAAAGGTTTGAATGTCTACTCCTAGCCCTGAAAAAACTAACTAGGGTTGAGTTCTTAAGCCGTTTTAGTGATAATTTCAAGATTCATGCGAATGAGCTGCTACTGAAGTTGAAACGACAAGACTCGTAAATTCAGGGAAACATTGTATACCTTGAACCATCCATTCAGAAGAAAAGCTGGCTGTGGGCTGCCCGAAGACTTGAAGTCTGTTGAGATTGAGCTTTCCATTCAGTCAAGTAAGTATGTTTCTTCTTAGCTGGCCCATTTCTTTGATGCATACTAAAACTGATGAACATTATTTTCAGAATTATGATTGAGACTCAAGCCAGATGTCCCGGCCATAATTTTGCTATCATCCAAGCTACAAATGGGAATATTCTTGTATGGTGCTGCTATGACTGTTGCTCGGGACCCTTTTTGGCTGTCTGGTGCTGTAAATTGTGTCAGTATTTTCGATGCAATTCGTGCTATAATACTAAATTTCAGCCACAATCGTCTGAGAGAGAAAATCGACAAGAAACGTTCAAAGGGCTGTTCATTTCATGTAGTTCATTTATTGACTTTTTTTTCGGCTTGAATCGAAGAAATTTCGTCAAAAGTGATCAGCCTGAGATGGAGTCAGCAGGCATATAAAGAAATATCTCACGAGATGACAAGGGAATCAGAGGTCCTATTCGACGCACAAGAGACTGTCTCAAGTCATAGTGATGTAATTTTCGTCGGGCTTCATTAGCAATCCCCAAGTGATAACATGTTACGGTCCTTATTGTTACAGTAGAAGGTACTCCGACAAACGGAGACGAACACATACAAGACTGAAGTGGCAAGTACCAGAAAACCAACGATGCGTGTTCCACAAGCTTTGCATGTTGATGCCCTGGAACGAAGTGAATAGAGTCTAGGTAGTTGTTCAGATATATGTATATAGGAGTGTTATTCGACAGCTGGATGAGAATCACGACTTATAGTCGTTCCGACGGATTGGTTTAACCTAAAGACAGACTCATTCAAGCAGCAGAGGAACCATGGACAGCGAAAACCTACCAAAGGACTCGCAAATACTTGTGTTTTGGATTGACATTCCCCAGAACCGCTGTGGCCAATGATGATGCCTCGGCAATACAAGCACTTACAGCAGTACAAAAGAACAACACGGCGAGTACGCAAAACGGGTACTAGTGCATGAGTACTATTCTCAAGGGCAAACTCAACTGTCACCATCCAATGTGGGGTGAAAACTTCATCGAAAACGACAGTGGCCTAATAGACTTTTTCCAAACGCTCAATCCCTATAGCTGCCTTCCGCGAGGAACAGCGATTTACAGGGCCTCCAGCAACCCAGGGCAAAATTCAACCATCGAATAAACCCCGACGAACGGACCGAATATGCTGATCAAATTCCATCTCAACTCAAACTGTCTGCCACTTTCCTCTCAATGTAAATATTGACAGACTTTGTCAGCGCAGCACGAGAGATCCATAGCTATGATGTTCGTAAGTACAATTTAAATTGCTGCAAAGAAGGCGGCGCTTTCTTTGCAGTTAAGACGTAGGTTATCAATGGTTTCGTGATTGCTGCTCTTCATGTAGTCTCACAAATCGTGCTCGGATAGCATCCCGACTTCGGGTTTCACGCTGTCTTTGACGATATTGAGCATGTAAGTGCTCTATTCGGTTAAGTGGTCTCTCTGCTGGCAAGGCCGTACGGGGGGCGCTATGCGTTACTCCCTCTCTGAGAGCGTATCTCAGCGAAAGAAGACGATGACGGTGAGCTTCACGCGATCTTGATTGACCAGGGATACCAAAGACCATTCCTGCCATGATTTCCAAAGACGCTCCTTTTGAGAACAGCCAGCGATATTTTTCAAAGTCTCCTTGCTCGTAGGCTTCATAACAGAGCCTGTTGATACCACCTTGAGCCTCGCGAAAAGAAGCACCATGATCAACCAACCAACTTAGAAGCACCTTGTAATTTTGTGAATGAGCTGCACGCCTAACCAAATCGCCGCAAGGAACATGCTTCAAAGATGCTCCAAGCTGAACCAAATCATCCTTTGGAATTGAACCAGTCTTTTTATAAGTGTAGGATAAGATATGGCCTCGCGATATATAATGACATTCTCTGACTTGAGTGGCCTGGCTGGGGATTTCCAGATTGTTGTTGTTTGAAGCCCAGATCTTTTTGATCTTTTTCAAGATATGTATAAGAGCTGAGCAGCCAAATATAGACCATGTCCTCCAGCAAGCCGCGCGGAAATGTAAGTAATCAGGAAGATAAAGATTCTTTGCGATGGACTCCAAGATCTCCGGCGGTAGATCATAGAACGAAGCCTTCCTCTTCTCTGTACGTTCCACATCAAGAGTCGTATATGACATATCGCAGTAATGTGGAAGATGCGTGACGGAGATGACCGGTGTGTGATGTCGCACCAAGATATTTGTATCTGTTGAGTGTGCTGATTCAGCAGTTGATGCCTAAGGAATGAAAAAATGATGTGGTGTTGAATAAAACGCATAGACGCTAGTAAGATAGACCTCCACTTTTCCGACCCCCTTATTTTGCAAATCATCCTATATTTAGAATAACACATCTCAAGTACTGTTCAATGATCCCGTTGGTTTATCTCCGTACTAGTGCGTACAGCTTTCTTCGTAATCGACAGTATCTATGACATGGGGCGGGCAAGGTGCTAGGAGTACTAAAATACAAGTGCATACAGCACATCATAACTAGTACCAGATTCGTTACGTAAGGGATAATACAACCGCCGTGTCAGAGGTAGGCCGGAAAAACTCCTAATATGTATTAGCGCTGTTTAGGAAGTAGGATTCTAGACAAAATTGGAGAGTACGGTGGGTGCACCAGTTACGGGACGTACTGTAACAGGCCGAGGTGATAACTGATCGGAGCTTTCTGCCGGACTGGCGCGAACGCGTATGCACTAGTACGATTCGATCCAATCATGAGGGTTGGGAATTGATGTCTGGTTAAAGAACTATCTCTGCTTTTCAGGGGGAATACATGTAAAATGCGGGCGGGCGCTGTATACACTAGTCCTAGAGAGGAATAGTGGTAAACCACTCCTCTCCAACTTGACACTTTCGAAGCCAAGTGAGGTATTTATATTACTGCCTATTCACCCCGTCCTTCGTGGCGATTTCAGCGACAGCTTATGCCAGGCAGTTGTTTTCTTGCTTGCCCATTGGATTCAGCGTGGCTCAGAAATACTGCTGCGTAACTTGTGTTAGATCCTTTTCAGATCCCGACCGCGGAGTATAGCCGAGTTCTGCCAACAGGATATCATATCGTAGTCTGGCTTTCCCTGCTATTTTAATGACTTTCTTGGTTTTTAAAAAGCCCCGGTTTACAGTAGGATTCTTGTTGATCTCTATTGGCTGATCAATTTCAATAATTAATCTCAACCCGTCAATTATGGCATTCATTACTGTTGTAAATCAAAGGAAGATTAATTATTGTTATCATCTAGAGGGAAATATGAGGCTATATATACAACGAGAAGAACAAGTTGATTTCCAATCAACTTGATTCTTCGTATAGATATTTCGGCATTAATTCCGATGGGACGGCTTGGTTCCTGATCTGCACCAGCCTCATATCACAACATTCCCCCTCAGGATCGTCTTGCCAGCAGGGCGATACTGATATTGCGCAGAGCAGTCAGGCCTCGGTAAAACCACTCAAGAAACCTTCGTGGGAAAAGAAAGTGGAAAGAGCACCTGCGCTGTCATGCTTGTTGCCTTAGGTTTTGGATACGTCGATTCCCAAAAGACTACAGAACTTGGCAAAGGACGTTGGCCCTAATGGCTTGGTGAGACCATCCGCGGCCTGCTCCTCAGTGGGAATATACTGCAGGTCAATTTCTCCTGCATTCAGCACCGACCGCTGATAATGGAACTTCACATTGAAGTGTTTGGTTCGTTTGTGAAATTCGGGATTGCGGGAGAGTGCAATAGCGGATTGATTGTCAGCCATGATATTAGTGATCGGAGATCGATACAGATTTGTTTCGGCTAGAAACGTGCGAAGCCATTGCAGATGTAAAATGGCATTGTATTGGCCAATGTACTCGGCATGAGTCGTGGATGTGGCCACTTCCCCCTGTCGTTTGGATGACCAGGAAACCGGCGCGCCTGCAAGTTGGAATACGTAGCCAGACGTTGAGTATGCACCGTCAGTGACGACGGAGCCTCCAAAGTCCGCGTCCGTGTATCCGATCAATTGCCCACTACGGTACGTAATCCGATGGGCCTGCGTGGCTTTGATGTAGCGAAGCAATCGCTGCAGAGCGACTTGGTGGTGCGATTGCGGTTGGGATGTGAAGCGACTCAACATTCCTAGCGCAAACGCAATGTCCGGTCGCGTGCCAATCATTAGATACATTAATGAACCGATGGCAGTCGCATAACGAGCTTTTGCTTCCTCGTCTGGAGCTTCCTCCTCTGGACGATGATTCAGGTTTTGCTTGGGGTTCATCGGCGTCGACTTCGGCTGACAGGTTTCCATGCCAAAGTCGGAGAGCACCTTCTGGATGTACTGTTGTTGGTGAATGGACACGGACCCATCGACGTCATAGTCGAACTGGATCCCGAGGAACGATCGAGGGGTGCCCAGATCGTTCAGTCGGAACTCTGTTTGCAACGCTTGTTGCACTTGTTCTATTTCATGCGTGTTTGCCGCGGTCACGAGGAAATCATCGACATAAACACAAATGACGCAGTCCGGTTTGTGGAACACGCAGTGATCCGATTGGGCCATAGTGAAGCCCTGAGAAGCCAGGACGCGGTGGACGCATTGGTACCAAATCCGCGGGGCCTGCTTCAGCCCATACAGTGAACGGCGCAGCCGACACACGTACCCTGGTTCTTCGAAGCCTTCGGGCAACTCCATGTAGATAGACGAATCGACGTCTCCATGGAGAAATGCGGTGACCGCATCGAATTGGTGGAGTTTCCATCCGCGCAACACGGCACTGGCGACAATGCAGCGGACCGAGTCCATTCGCGACACGGCAGCAAAGGTTTCGTGGTAGTCGATGCCATGCTTCTGCCGATAGCCTTTGATCACCAATCGCGCTTTGCGCGTTCCATTGGCCTTGGTCTTAAAGACCCATTTGCACCCAATCACATGATCTCCGGCTGGAACGTTCTCTCGACGAACCTTTTCCCATGTTCCGTGCTCAAGAAGCGATGCGTATTCTTTCTGGATGGCGGCCCACCATTCCAGCTGGTTTGGGCCTGACACAGCTTCGCGAAAAGTTGCCGGGTCGACTTGTCTGTTCGGTGTGGTTTTCAATGTGCCTGCCGCGTATACCTTGCCTAGGGATTCTAGGAGACGCCGTGATGGTCTTCGTCTGCGGCCATAAACTGAATACCCAAGATTCGGCGACAAGTCGGTTTCTTTATTACTTGGATTGATTGCTGGTGGTGTCTCCTCAAGCGCTTTCTCTCGCTCATTCGACGGAGGGAATGGCGATACAGGAGGTGTGGGCAGCCCGCTGGCTGAACTTGGCACTGATGAAAAGACAGGCGATGGAGGAGCGTTGTCCGGGAGGTCGTTGCCTGTTTCCCCCTCGATGAGTGGCGCCACAGGGGTCCGCTCATCGAACTTGACATCGCGGGAGAAGACTGTCTTTCCGGAATGTATTTCAAAGAGCTTGTACTGGTTGGGTTCACAATAGCCCAGCAGTCGGCACTCGGACGACCTCGGTCCGAGTTTGGCTCGATGCTCTTTTGGGATCAACACCCAGGCACGAGAGCCGATCCGTCGCAGATGCAGGAGCGAGGGCGGCTTCCCATAAATCACTTCATACGGTGTCTTCTTTTGCAAAATTGATGCTGGCGCGCGCAGCTTCAGATAGACCACCGTATCTATAAGCTCGACCCACCAGGAAGGAGGAAGGTTCGCATCGGACAGGAGCGTGTTGATCCGCTCCCGGATAGTGCGGTTCGTTCGTTCGGCCAGCCCATTCTGCCCTTTGCAGTATGGCGGCGAGGTGTCAAGCTCAACTCCCTGGCTTTCGAGGTGTGTTCCGATCGGCAGATATTCTCGACCATTGTCGGTGAGGAATCTTCTAATCTGGGGCCCGAACTGTCGGTGCACCCAGGCCTCAAACTGTCGGAACTTCTGCAGCGCTTCATGTTTCCATCTCATGGCATAGGCCCATGAGCCCCGAGAATAATCGTCAGTAAAGGTGATCACTGAGGCCCGAAGATTGCCCCAAGCTGGCTTGCCTCAGGGCTCGCCCCTGTCTCCGATCCTGTTCCTCTTTTTCAACGCAGACCTCGTGCAAAGACAGATCGACAGCCAGGGAGGAGCGGTCGCTTTTGTGGATGATTTTACCGCATGGGTGACCGGGCCAACCGCGCAGAGTAACCGGCAAGGCATCGAGGCAATTATCAATGGGGCGCTCGATTGGGAAAGGAGAAGTGGAGCAACTTTTGAAGCGGAAAAGACAGCCATCATACACTTTGCTCCCAAGATGAGTAAATCAAACTGCGAGTCGTTTACCATTAATGGACAGACGGTGGCACCGAAAGACCACGTTAAGATACTGGGTGTCTTGATGGACACGAGACTCAAGTACAAGGAACATATGGCGAGAGCCGCGTCGAAGGGCCTGGAGGCAGCGATGGAGCTTCGGCGACTTCGCGGCCTTTCCCCAGCAACTGCGCGGCAGTTATTTACATCAACGGTGGCACCAGTTGTGGACTACGCCTCCAATGTTTGGATGCATGCGTGTAAGGACAAGGCCATGGGGCCGATCAATCTCCGAAGAGTTGGAGCACAAGCCATTGTGGGGACATTCCTCACAGTCGCAACCAGCGTAGCGGAGGCGGAGGCCCATATTGCCACCGCGCGGAGCCGATTCTGGAGACGGGCCGTGAAGATGTGGACGGACATGTATACCCTTCCTGAAACCAACCCGCTCCGCAGAGGTACAGACCGGATCAGAAAGTTCAGACGATATCATCGCTCGCCGCTGTACCAAGTAGCAGATGCGCTTAGGCACATCGACATGGAGACACTGGAAACAATTAACCCGTTCACGTTGGCCCCATGGGACGAACGCGTGCAGGCCAATATTGACGGACAATATGAACCTCAGACTGAAGCGGGCGGATCGATGCAGATCGCGGTCAGCAGCTCGGCACGGAACGAGCTGGTGGGATTTGGAGTCGCAATCGAGAAACAGCCACCTCGAAATCGAAAAGTGAAGCTCAAAACGTTTTCCATCACATTGGGCGTGAGAGCAGAGCAAAACCCGTTCTCTGCGGAGCTGGCAGCTATGGCACATCTGTTGAAGATGGTAGTGGGAATGAAAGACTACAGGATTACGTTGCTCACAAGCAACAAAGCGGCGGCTCTCACGCTAATGCACCCCCGACGACAGTCTGGCCAGGAGTTTGTCTGTCAGATGTACAAGTTGATGAGAAGGTTGCGGAGAAATGGAAATCGGATCAAATTCCACTGGATCCCCACTAGCGAAGACAACAAACTGTTAGGTCGGGCTAAAGAACAAGCCAGAGTGGCGACACAAGAAGATGCCCTCCTACAAGAACGTGTCCCGAGGATGAAGTCGACAACACTTAATATCGCACGGTCCCAAGCAGTGCCCAGAAACAAGCTGCCAGAGAACGTAGGGAGGCACGCAAAACGAGTGGATGCCGCACTCCCAGGCAAACACACTCGGCAGTTGTATGACCGTTTGTCGTGGAAAGAAGCGACGGTACTGGCCCAACTCCGAACCGGCATGGCTAGACTTAATGGATATCTCAATCAAATTAATGTAGCAGAGACGGACCAATGCGATTGCGGACAAGCAAGAGAGACCGTGGAGCACTTCCTCTTCCGATGTCGGAAGTGGACGGCGCACCGGACGGAAATGTTACAATGCACGCAGACTCACCGAGGAAACATATCCTTCTTCCTGGGCGGAAAACAGGCTTCTGATGATCAGAAGTGGACGCCAAACCTAGAGGCAGTACGGGTCTCCATACGTTTCGCCATTGCGACGGGCCGACTCGAGGCCACTTGAACATATCGACCAACATAACCCCCACCCCCTTCTTCCGACCCTACTCACCCACCACCTCGTGCTACAGATGGTAGACGCGCTTCAACTGCCGAAGATAGGATGTTGAACACTTGGAGAAGCGCCTTCAAGCCAGCCTACTAACCCACTTACTAACCCACGAGAAACTCGCTGCGACACTGCTTTCTGGAAATGTCATATTTTTATAAAAGTTTCATGTATGGGCTTGCAAGAGACACAGCATATGCAGATGGACATGTACAGTAGATTAGTGATAGTTGCCCTTTCGGCTCAGCCGCCGGGCGTTAATGAATTGTTTGTTTGTTTGTACTTGACTGAGTGATGCTTGATATGTAAGACATACGTCAACCTAGTCTTACTTTATCCGTATCATTTATGAAAACCCAGTGAGGCCTCTTCTTGCATACATTGTCTCGATTCAAAATAGCCGACATCAGATATAGTACAATTACCTCGTTTGCCTTCAAATCTCACCTTAGGGCAGTTGTGGCAGCCTCTGTGCATCCATCGTCATTTAATGAACGCAGGGCCAAGAAAAATAGTTCTTAATACAGAGGAGACATCCCCTGGATGCCATTCTATTTCGGAGTCTAGATATAGGCCAACTGTCTTGTCAGTGAGTTTTTGAGGACTCGGCAACGCCCATCTTTTGGAAATTTTCAACATTGGCGAGACCTGAAGCTCCCGGCCGAGGAAATCTCACCCTTGCTTTAGTATATCCATTAGTCGACCGATTTCAAGTCGCAGGTGGATAATTTCGCAATATGCAGTCTCATTTCCCATCCCTGGGATCGGGCTATTGTCAAACTCTATTTCTTACATTGAACATTGACTCCCACCCTTAGAAGAGCGTTTAGTAAACGCTACCTCTCCGTTTGCTCAACAGTTTGAATGACGTTCAACAGCTCAAACTCTGCCCACCAGTTTTTTTTCTCTTTTTCTTTGCCAAGACGCTGCAAGAGCCCGACCATGGATCTTTTCGAACCTTGTCAGTGGTGAAAGATTACGCTCAGCACCCTAGCCATTTGAAACGATATGTGGCAGACTTTCTTTTCACTGAAAACTTCATAAAGATGTAACTCCTCCTGCACAGGATCCTGAGCCAGAATAATTCACAGTTGAACTGCAACTGCCCCATTTTCCTGAGGTCTGCTGCTCAGTTGAGCAATGGCTCCCCATAGTACGGTCGGTTGGTCAACCTGGGAGGAGGAAAACCTGTTACCCTGGTTGGAATCAAACCGATACTTGACCTGGAACGCTCTGTCTCACGCCTACTGGCAGCAATATCAAATAAGAAGAAGCGCCGAGTCTCTGAGAGGGAAAAGGTACCACATCCTTCGGAAACGCCGCGATGCTGGTCATACACCGATCAAAAATAAACGGCAACCTACAACGTGTGAACATCGCAAACTCCTTGTGAAAGGGAGAAAAAAAAATCCGCTCAAGCGCCGAATCAGACGATGGCTTCGAAATGTTTCCACAGGACAATCAGACCGCAGTGATTCTACAGGAACCAAGAGATCATCGACCGGTAAGACATCACCTAATGTTTCTACTACATACCAAGCTGATCAATTGGTAGGTCTCGAGGTAGTGCCGTCAGGTTCTGCCCAGCTTGATTATGCGAGAAACTTGTCGTGGATCTGGGACTATGCTCATCGACTCGGTGCAGCAGGGAAATTGGCTCTTTGAGATGCTTTTAGCAAATGAAAGAATACATTTGGAGAGATAGTGTTGAATGAAGCAAGAGGTTCCACAAGATAGGTTTTCTTTTCCAGAAACATAAGAGGCTCTCCCACCTAACACCCCCGAGAGACTCACAAGCTCCACGTTGAATCGACTAATTTGACTTCTTTACTTCAGAAAATAAGTGTACCCGGAATAGAAGCCCTCTTCCCAATTCTGCTCCCTTGAGTGTCCTCATCGGTTGGATGTACATATATGAAGATTTGAATTGATAGTCTTCAAAAGCCCAAAGTGTTGATGATATAATCGCTATATGCAAGATAAATCTCATTGGAAACAATTACAGCCCCCTCATTGAAAGCCGGCAGGTCGTCGAGTTGAGGTCACACAGCCAGACGAGATGGCGTGAACCTGGACCTGGAGCCTCGACTTGAGACGTGATGGCCTCTGCAGCTTGAGCGTAATTTTGGCTGCAACAAGCCAAGATTCTCCTCTCATCTGCTCGCGAAAGGAGAGGGGATACTTTTCCAATAGAAAAGAGGAGCCGTGGGCTTCTGGAGCCAAGTGAACAGGGCTGATGGATGCAAGTAGCCAGAAGTACCCACAGGAATACTTAAAACAGTCCTCGCTAGTGCCCCATGAAGTAATGAGTGTGTTGAACAGAGCGCCGAAATCCGTCCCCGGAAGTCCGATATAAAGATATTCTTCTGAGCCACTGACATTTAGTTGAAGACCTTCAATAATCAGCTCCCCCTCATCCAAACGTGGGTCGAGTACCACGGAATCTGACATCCAGAATTCGGTTGACCAAGAAATGGGTGGAAGCAGAGGCTGAGGGAGAATCGGGTCTTTGAAACGGACGAGGAGCTTGCTCAGGCTTTTGCCTGATTCTCTCTTAGTGCGGCCCTGTAGAATGATTCTAGCACCAGATCCTTTCTCGTCTTGAGAAACGCCGATCGCACATTCAGACCAGTCAAGATTTCTAAGATGTGCAGGCTCGTGAACAATCACGCCCAGTGGTCCAACAGAGACGAAGATGTTATCCTTGTCAGGAACATTCCATGCGTGGCCGTGCGGGAGCAGCGACGAGTTGAGCAGCATGTTCATTCGCGCACCGCAGAGTTTCCGTTGGTCCCATTTCCACACTAGTTCCTGCGTTTTCCAATATACGAATGGCGAGGTGCTGATGGTTGCGGTAGGGGTGTTATCTTCGGCTCGAATGAAGCGACCACTGATCCTCTTGGCAATTCCATCAGTAATCGAGGAGAAGTATTCCGAGCCTTTCTTCCTAGATGCGGGGGGAGGAAAGCTCTCTCGACTGGGAGACATGAAAGGTGTCATGGAGTGGCAGGGGGGGGGGTGATAAAGATGATCCTCGAAGATCCTGAGAGTCGCCATCCGGCCGGTTTTAAGCTGCGCCGGTCAAATTCCAGCAGTCTAAATGTGTGTTTGAATACACTAAGAGCTCGTCAGTTCTTGCTCTGTCGCCAAAAGACCCAACCGTGGCGTGTAGGCGTTGCGGTAAACCTTATGCTCGGTGAGTGATCGGTCCTGGTGAGCAAACATGAGTGATTGTTCTAAGAACAAGCCTGAGTCAATACCTGCCTCATATCATTTACTCTACCTTGACTGGAAATCCTCCAACGTAGATCCCACTTCGAGTTTAGTGCGAATTAAATATCTGAGGCAATCATTGGTATGTACATTTAATTCTCGTTTCCGGGGCTAGCTTAGGGCTATGGCTCGAAACATCAGTTATCAGAATATTAATATGAAACAAGGCTACCACAGAAAGTAGTGTAAAATTGGGAAGCAGATTCACTGCAGAATCATTCGAGTCTTTTTTTTCCCAGTCGGTTTTGCGAATAATCGTTGACAGTCTATGGCTGAGCAGCTGCTTGTGTCTTTTGAGACCTTCGGACATAGCCACAACAGGCAGGAAGAGATCGCTCTCTGACCCGGGCGCTTTCATGCTTCTCAGTCTGAATACTATACTGAAATATTGAGCTGATTCCCGGGGCATCTCATTCTAATTTCCTGTAGCTTGAATACGCAAGGATCATGTGAGTATGAGACGCGTTTATTCTCGCTGCACAAGGATAGATCAATCACATCTCGAGCGGAGTCCCAGAGTACAAGTGTTGGCATCTTCTTAGTCCATCAACTATCAGTCTAGCAGAAGCCCTCGCCAATGTTCAAATTCGTCCATGTATTTTTCAGCTTAATCTCAACACACCAATATTCCTAGTACATCAAGAATGTCCTTCTTAGAGACTCACTAGAAAGAAAAAATAGAGCATTGCGGACATGGTGCATTGGCCTAGCGCCAGCTTTTTGGTCTGCGCTATCGGTAAGTCCCCGCACAATACGGCTTTGCGGTGTCCAAAGCAGTTGGACTCGTGATGCACGTGAGCGGAGGGTCATCGGCGCGCTTGTATATGATTCCGCCATTCTCGAATACCGGCTGGAAAGAAAGATTTCGGTAAAGTTTCAGTTGCATTTCGTCAAGACGAAGGGTTGGGTCGTCTGGGCTCGTGAAAATCCAACAAGCGTTACCAACAAAGTCAACGCCTCGACGGTGTTTCCATTCTGGTCTAGGCTGCCAGTTGGGGAAGAAAATCTTCTTGTCAAGGGCCGACTGCGGTGTACACAATGGTACATGGTTCAGTTTGAACTGTTTGGTGCGGCGCCGTTCCCGAACTCTTGTGAACGCGTTCAAAACTCTACCCATGGTAGCTGTCGGGCAATTGGAAAGCTGGAAAAGAGGTAGTCTCCAAATCGTGATTGCTTTGGATGACGGGACTTTGTAATTCGATGAAAGTGTCGGTGACTGCATGCTACTGCTAGCCTTATAAATAGGGGAGGATAGATTGAGGATACGACTTACCAGAGACGGTTCTTCGTCAATCAAATTCTTGCGTCCGTAAGATACAGGTTCCAGCAATCATTGTATACCAACATCATAGATAAGTGAGGAGGGACATTCCACATAGCATGAAAATAGGAGCAGCTTTCAAATCCTGCGGGCCATTGTTTGTTCTCCTCCGTCATTTCCTGTAGTCTATACGCCAGCACTCTCCCCCTGGCCTTTCACAGCATGGATAGAATCTTACAGTCTCTCACAACTAGCAATTCTGAATTTCTTGTCTCGCTGAACATTCACAGTCGTTCACTCAACGTCGAGACACCAAAACAAATGTGGTGGCCCCACATCGACGCACGAGCTGCACGGGTGTGGATCCAAGGTACTCGGTGTTGGCTCAACTTGAACGACCATGTATTGTTGATGGTCTCACCACTTTGGGCTGCTTGAGGATACGAACTCTGATTGAAAAGGGAGACAGAGGAGTGGCACAGAGGAATGGCCGTTTTAGCCCTTCCTCTAAGGCCTGTGTTTCCTCATTCACCCAAGATGCACTGCAGTACATCAGATAGTGGAGCGAGCAGAATTATTCCAACCTTTACGATACTCCCTGTTTAATTGAGAGAGGAGAAATATAGAAGTGAGCCGTAAATTCGCAATTTAGCCAGCGAATAAAGTTTGCGTTCTCAGTGGGCCATCTTTTTACTTTCCTAGATGGTATCGACGGGCCCCGTAGTCTACCTCAACTTTCACTCAATGGCAACTATTGGTAATGCCGCCTATCTTTGCGACTCCTGTTTGCTCAACCCTGGTGAGCGAACTGGCTTAGCTACTTAACAAATTTGCTTTCGGTCTCTTCACGTGTGTGGCCTAGAAAGGAAACCGATTGATCTCGCGAAATTTTTATCAATGGAGGTGATCATCTCAAGAAGTACATCTAGGCTGGTCGAGCCGTGAGTGATGAAACATCTATTTGAAGATGTAAGCGCAATCCACCTTCTCTAGTCTTGACTATTCCCCGCGTCGACTTTTACCACGGGATAAGCCATTGGAAATGGCGGCTTGTATCTAGTGTGGGAAATACTGAGCTTGGGATAGAATTCTGTGCTTCACTGAGCCGTCTTTCATCTCAGGGAGAGTGTTTCGGTACGTGTAGTTGTTGTAGTTTAGAGGAAGGTTGATCATTGTTCTGATTGTTCAGAGGGAAATATGTGGCTATATATACAGCGAGAAGAAAAAGTCGATTTCGAATCAACTTGTTTCTTCGTATAGACACTTCGGTATTAATTCCGGCGTTGCGGCTTGGTTCCTGATCTACACCAGCTTCAAATCACAACAGTGATCAAAGAGGCTTCATTATGGATTTGCAGATATTGCATTTAGATAATGGCCTCGCTTGTTTAGCAAAAAAAAACTCCGTAAATAATCTAGATTATCGCGTAGAGCCCAAGGGGCAGACTGCATTCAAATCATCCAAAGCAACTGCGGCGAATTAAGAAGTCGGAGTTTGTGAGACTGAAATTCCATTTTGACGTGGCTCAAATTCGTACAATAAATCACACTCTGCTTACTATTGAGACCAGCAGACCTCAACTGAGAAATGAGTCATTCGTTCCGCAGCAATAGCAGCAGTATATTCATATGCAAGTTGCAAATGCGCCTCATTCATACAGCCCTTTGCAGATTCCAAATGCAGCTCACCCAGGAATTCAAAGTGTAGCTTTACGCATCACTGAGCTTCGAGCGGCCAGCCATGAGGTGTCAGCGCACCGCGAAAAGCAGGATTGTAAAGGGCGCTATGTTCGTCTAGAGTGACTACATAGCGGTTTCGACCTCCACGTTTCCCATGGGTCAGATAATGAGAGTTGAGGTTATCACGACGGACAAACCTGCGATAACACCCGGGAACCCAGCAGGCATGGACTCTGATACCTGAGTGACAGTGCAAGTGGCGTGAAAGGTTCTTCTGGCGCTTGAAGATTTTATTACATCCCGAGTGAACGCATATGAATCCTGGCGCTGCGATATTTGGCGGCAAGGACGGTAGCCCAACTTCGTATTGAGCACAATTCATGGATGACTCGACCTTGCTCGGCTTGAAGCATTCTCTTTCATCTGAGTTGAGATCGATTGAAAGATCGGGCCAAGGAGAGTCGCAAAGACGGTAGGGATCGAGTGAGCCTGACCCGTGGCCGTACGACCTCGATCGTGCAGCGAAGGTGTTGGCAAATTCCCCTGGACAGATTGGATTTTGGTAACAGTCTGCTGTTGCTGTAGTGTTGCACTGATGATTCACAGTACTGAGTAGAACTGCGACTTGGGGATAAAGAGAGTAACTGATGTGATTTTGCGATTCTGGAATGATGATTGCTGATTGCGGGATAATGTATAAACCCGTGTCACATAAGGGCGGTCTATGAGCTGTCCAGTCGACAGGTGTGTAGCTGCAGCTCCTGTTCATTTGGTCAAAATACACTGTGCCGTTTCTTAGCAGAGGGCTCAGCTAGTAATATGACGACCTGAGCAAAGAAATGGATATTTCGACTCGTTCAGAGATCATTCGTGTCGGGTGAACGACTGGTCTGGGATAGTAGTGTCACAGGGACCTTTACAAGGTGGAGGAAGGAGTTGTTATATAGACGCTCGCTTAAATTTCTCTTAATTTAGATTCTTCGTGATCTTTCAATTGGAACCGGCTTAATTTGCGTTGAAAGAACGAAACTAACGGGGGTGGTGAATGAACGTTGACATAACTGTTGAGTCGAGCGAATCAATTAAACTTGGAACCCCTCCCTGCTTTCTTACTTCTTCAATCTCATATTTTTGAAAGAAACTTCAAAGCAAAATGACTTACTTTCCAAAAGTATAGGTGTGCCTCAGCACGTAAAACTGTCATCCCAGCGATTATGAAAGCCTTTAGAATGGGAAAAGGTTTGGCACCACCAATCCAATATTCGCATAGAGGTAGAGTGGGTATGATTCTCAAGAAAATGGTTACTTTCACTGCTTGCTCCATGCCGCACCATCAGGCAGTAGATATTACCACCCCTGAATATCAGGAATGAAAAAGCCTCCTATCTGCCATCACATTTTTAAGCATCTGAAATCGGTACACATAAAAGAGCAGTGAAAATGCCAGCGTAGTAAAGCCAGTGACAACAGCCGTTACCAAAGCCATAACGGACCAATGGCCCGCGCGTGAAGTGTAAACATTGACCAGGGTGGTGAGAAGTCCGGCTGCGGCGTTCAGAGACACTGGCCTATTGCCTATCAGTAAAGAACCCTCATCTTTCTTGGCATGACTCACATGAAAATCTTGTTGATCAACCAGGTGTAGACATATCGCAGTTGACGAAAGTGCAATAGCCAGAGAAGAGCGAAAGCCCCAACCATCAAGAAGAAACATGCTATGCCGAGTAAAGGCGGGTTGTGGATGGTATGTAGCATATGACGTCCAGCGCCGTTGTGGTTGAGAGCACTTTCGACTTGATTGGACGTCTGGAGGGAGGTAAAAGTGCCAGGAACCACCAAGTACCCGGCAAGCAGGACCCAATTGGCTGTACTTGCAATAATGTTGTATGTGACTTGGACCTCGGCCTCTTCTCGCAACATTCGGGCATAACGAGTCTCGGAGCGGGGTCGGGGTACATCTTGACTCAAGACATTCTTATCGGAGTTGTACCAGCATCTTACTGTCTTCCAAAGAGTATGTGGCAGGCGAATGAATGTGCGTATCGACATTTTGGATTCTGACTGTGGGAAAGCGATAGCACCATGAAGTCTTTCACGAAGAAGTTGGGAATATGGGGCACTGGATGTGATCCAATTTATATGACCCTATGAGACTGTAGTTCATTAAGCCTCACAAATGCCTTGTGACTCCTCCCTTTATGACCATTCTTGGGCGAGCCGACGTGACTTTGAGCTTTATACTTCAAGATATTGCGGTCAAGCAGTTCTTTCTACTAAAGGATTACAAAAGTTGATGGGTGCGGTTATATTGCGTTTAGGTGGCCGTCATGAGCCCTTCGTTATATGCAAGCAGCTGATATTGGGCGGATTCAAGCAATAGAGACGGACAATAAATTCCTTATAAGAATCATTTTTTTGATGCTGTAAGCTCAATATTTGCGATTGCAATCGCAACCTTTTCATCAACATTGGCGGAGTGACGAAACTAAGCTACGAAGACTCTGCACGGGAAAATCCCATATATTGCATTTCTGGTCCCAAAGAGTCACATCACAACCACCTCATGCATCGGATGGCAATGCTTACCGACTGGCTATCTCAGCGAGAAGTCCAAGAGAAATTCGCGCTAGCAGCAGCTCTCGTCTTTACAGCATGGCTGCTTTACTGCTTAACGCACCAGATAGGGCGTTATTTCTCACGCGCATGCCAACTTGTGTCATGGTGGGCGTTCCAATACCCGGTGCCCCGACATATGTCCTGTGTAGGTCTGTCTTCCTACGCGCAGGCCATAATAGTTGCGTTCTTATGGGGCCTCAACATCGTAGCCTTGGTCCTCCGAGCTTCGACGTGGAGAGACGTCCAGATGCGTGCCGGCTGCCTTTCCGTCATACACCTGCTGCCACTCTGCGTCGGGTTCTCTTTCAGCCTCCCCGCCCAGGTTTGTCACCTTGAGCGACAGGCCTTTCGGTGGCTGCACAGATGGCTCGGACGTGTTTGTGTCTGTCACTGTCTGGTCCATACGACACTGATAGTCAACGCTATCAAGAACGCGGCGCGCATTTCGACCGTACTCGTGCTTCCAATTGTGGTAAGTTTCGCCCAGCACGAACATATCCTCAAGTCCAACTACAATTGCTAACACTGTTGATTTGAATGATCCAAGGCGGCATGCAGTC